ATATTATTTTTTTCTTCAATTTTCTTGTTTATCTGCTTGTGTGCCGGTTTTTGCTTTTTGTTCATTGCTGATGAGTTCTCGATTTTGCCATTTGCTGATGAATTGCTTGCTCTTTGGATTATAAGTTTTGGTTTGGGTATGGGTTTGGTGGGGTTTTTGTTTGGATTCTGTGCTTCGCAATAAATGGCCGCGAGGTCTGATATAGGTTGTTGGGGTCCCCTGTTTTTGGTTTCTAAATTTGGGTTTGGATTGACTTTTGGTTAGTTGTTTTTTGATAGGTGGATTTTAGAATTATTGTGTTCTTTGATTACTAGCCTCTTGGAATTGTTGTGGATTATCTCTGTGCTGAATTCTTATTTCCTGCTGATTAATCGAAACCTTTTTGAAAATTTTTATTGCCAAAATCTTTGCCATGTATTCTTATTGGGAATTGCTTTCTATTGGCTACCTTAACTCGAATTCTGGGCTTGCTTTGTTTTCACCTCCCATTGATCTTCATTGCTTCTGCAACTTTTTGGGTTTCATTATTGCTTTGTATTAATGTCGATTGCTCATTGCCTTTTTTTAAAATGGATTCTCGGTTACTAGCTTCTGAAGGTGGTAAAACTGTAGACTTTGACTTTGAGTAGAGATACAATTTGCACGCCAAACTCAATCTCTATTTGGGATCATTTGAGGCTAGTGTTGCGATCTCAATTGCTTCCCTGTTTGACTCATTTTATGCGCTTACAAGACTTTGCCAAAATTTTTTGCTTTTCAACGGTCTCTGTTTGATCTTGATTTGCTACTGTCTGGCCTCTTTATGTCTTTCAATTTGCTGATAAGTGTTTAATCGAGGCTAAATTATTGTGCCAAATTGCTTTTTGATTTTTTAAAATTTTTTAGAATTTTTAAGATTTCTTTAAATTATTTAAAATTTTTTGAATATTTTGAATTTTTTTAGAATTAAAAAAATAGAATTTTTAAAAACTTTTTTAGAAAATTTTTAAAGCATTTATTGTTTTTGAAAAATTTTTTTAATACTGACATAGTATTGATAATGTGATGTTAACTGTATTTTTTTCATACGTGTCAACATCTTATTAGATATCTATGTCATATTAACGTTTTTTTTAATAATATTAAGGGTTAGGGTAATTTAAGAAATGAGAATATAATTTAAGTATTAGATTAAAAAAATTTTTATTTAGATATTACAAAAAAAATGTAATAATTTTGAGGCCAAATGGGTTATTATCCTTTAATTTTTATTGAAATATACATGTCCGTGATTTTCACTTATAACAAATTTACTAATTACACAAATTGTGATTGATGATTAGTGAGTGAAGTTCAAAAAGCAAACATATATATTATTATATTATAATATACATTGACATTTAATTAAGTTTATCATATGAATGTTTATGTGAATAATTTTTTTATATGACATGAAACATAGTTTTTTTAAAGAATAAATCTTTTTTTAATTATAAATTGAATAATCTTGAATTTATTATAAAAATTATTCAAATTATGATTACAAATCAAATTAATCTAAAGATATTTTTTAAAATTAAAAATTAAAAATATATTAGTTATTCAAATAACTTTAAATTTTTACTAGATAATCTTATTTTATAAATTATTTAATTATAAAAATCTTTCAATATGATTTAAAAGTATAAAAATTAAATTTATCTAAATATTTCACAAATGTACTGTTTTTCTTTTGTCTTAATTTGTATCAAACAAAAATTATCTTTTCGAAAATTTACGTAAAATATTAAAAATTTAAAAAGATTTTTCAGTTAATTTCTAAATAATAGAACTTATATCCATCTCAACTCTAATTATTAATTTTATATTTTAAAAATAAGTAAAAAATTTTGATTTAATTTTTATCACTTATTAAATCCTTTTAATTTTTTAAAATATCAATTTAAAAATTATCTAGTTAAGTGTCATCCAAAAGTTATCCTACAAATTAAATACTATATATGTAATGTGTTATATTATTTTTTTTATTTTTTGGTTTGCAACTTTTTCGACTAATACTATTGCGATTTATTTTTTGGTTTTCATCTTTCTTTTTTCAAGGTATATTCTATAACTATTGAAAGCTTGTTTTTATGAAATTAATATTTTTTTTACACACGTCCTAACATTTTTCACATTTTGTATAATAATTTGAACAAGATTACAAAAGTGAAAGTATGCTTATACTTTTTTATTATTTAATTCATCATTTGATAATATATATATATATTTATTCTTTTAAAAAAGACATAATTTATTTTTATTTGATATAAATTTTACATATATAAATATTATTATAAATAAAAATAGTACAAACTGAAATCATGTCAATTTTTTTATGCTTTAAAAAATTTATTTTTTTATGACAAGTTAATAAGATATAAAATTTAAAAAATATTAATTTATATATACATATATATAAAACAAGTAAAATTATTTCATATATAGCATGATTTACAATATAGTAAACAATATTACACTAACATTATAATTGATTGTTTTGTGGGAGAAAATAGGAGGAAAGAAAAGAGTTTAAAAACAAAATTTCACCTTTCTTTCATAGGGTAGGAGAAAAATAAAAAGAGTAAATGAAAAATTTTCCTTTCTTTCTTTAAAAAAATAAAAAAGGAATTTACACCTTTACCCTTTTTTAGAAAAGAAAAATCTAATCCTTTTTCATTTCCTTCAATTTTCTCTGATTCTGTTTTCTTTCGTTTCTACCAAACACATTTATCTTTCTTTATACATGGTGACTTCATCACCTTCTATACGTTCCATCATAACATAAAGTTTCCGACGACAGCAAAAGGATAGTGGTGATGGATTTGTTCCAAAGCACTATAGATATTATTCATAGAAGCATGAGGGAATGCAGAGGAGGTATACCAGCTTATACCATTTATCCATTTCCTGATTTTCTTGTTGGAATAGAAAAAAGGATTGAAATGCCCTGGGTAGCATCCATCGGCCCTTATCACTACTTCAACCAGGAACTTGCTCGTTTCAAGGAGCACAAGTATGATTTTCTCAATAAATTTCTATCGCGGACAGAACGTCACGGAATCGATTTATCCTCCTACGTTCAGCTATTGATAACGCTAGAACTAAGGACAAAAGCATGTTACAGTAAACATACTTCTATGGAGGATCATGAATTTATTAGTATGATATTAGCGGATGGTTCCTTTATCATCGAGCTCCTCCATCAATATGATGAGGATAACAATGTCAGATGGCCCTGGCAGGGCCCTGTTCAAACTTTGATTTCTGATCTCCTTAGAATGGGTAATCAGTTACCCTTTTCGTTCTTCAGGAATTGTTCAACCTCTCCAACGTCGGTCAATATGCATCAAGGGACTCTTTGTCCACACTTGCTTTAAGATTTTTCAATTAAGCCTTTTGCAGGCCCTTACCTGTTATATCCCCTGTTGAACATTTGGACCTCAGGCATTTACTTGACCTATTCCGCTTTAGTCTCCTTCCCTCAGCCCCAACAACCAATCCACAGCAAATAAATCATCATCCTTTCACGCAGTCAATACAACGCGTGATTGAGCTCCGTGGTGCCAGTATCTGGTTGAAGCAAAGGAGAGCTAATAGCTTGTTGGAGATAGATTTCAGCCGGAAGTTCCATATCCCTCTCTTACCATTTCTCAAAATCCCACCCATAGCTATTGATGATTTCACAAGCAGCATCTTGATCAACTGCGTCGCCTTGGAACAATGTTGTCAGGATAGATCCAAACATTTCACTCCTTATGTCTGTTTCATGAATTGCCTCATGAAGCAGCCTGAAGATGTTGGGTTTCTCCGTGCCATTGAGATCATTACACGCATTTTGCCAGATGAAATTTATGTGATTAATTTGCTTAATAATCTCGGTAGACAAGTTGCCTTAACTATTCCAGATTGCTATCTCTTGAATCAGTTGCAGGAAATCCACTCCTATTATAATGGCTGGTGCGCATGGATCTGGCGAAATCTTCCTCACGTTATCCACCTCATCGCCTTGTTCCTTCCCTTCGCAGCAATCGTCATTGCGATCCTCGATTGGGGAGTTCCAATTTCCAAGAGTAAGCTGTTATACACCGTAGGAAGCATCATAATTTTCAAGAACAATATAGAAATATGGTAGCTAAACTATAAGTGATGGCTACAAAATTTTTTATACCAATAACTAGGGTTCCATTTCATTTTCCCTTTTCAGAAACGAAAAGTTATAATGAACTTTCTACCATAGTAGGAAATTACCTATTGATATCTACTGCCAAAATAACATAACAAAAATCTCCATTATTCAACACATGAATGGTTTTCATTTATTGCAGGTTGAAAGTGCTGATGTTATACATATATATCACGAAGAACACTAATTCCAATGATCCAGATAAACCAGTTTCCGCTGCAGATTATGGTTGGAGCATGTTGAAGGGCATTGGTCACTAAATATTTCTATACTTCTAGCTCTTTTTCTCCTAGAATTTGCATCCAAGTTTGTGTTGTAGTAGTCATGGTTCTAAATAAGTTTTGTTCTTAACGTTACAAATAATATTGTATATGTAATTCTCTATTAGATTATAGTAGTTAACAAAGGAGGTTTTGTTTAATTTTGCGCTTTGTGCATCACATGGTGAGTGGTGGTCAATGGTTCCTTTAGACTTTTCATCGCTCTCTTTGCAAGGCATTAGGTAACTGTATTAGGTAGCTTTAATATGATAAGAAAGTTAAACACATGAATACTTTCAACCTGTTTGTAATAATTTAAAATTTTCATCAATAATATATGAAATAATAATTACATTAATTGATGTTATATTGAGTTATTTATTTATTTATTTTCAATGAAATATAAGTTTATTTTTCTTTTCTTTTTTTTTTTTTTGTTATGGGAAAGAAATTGTACACCTTCTATAAGTGCAAGTATCCATAATCGCATAATTTGAAATAGAATTGTGTCCTAATACAAATAAGAAAAATTACGAGCCCTAAATTAACATTTTACGAAACTTATATAGCATTCACCGTTTCTCTCTTTGTCGTCTCTCTGGAAAGTTCCGTCAACCCTGCTAAACTGTAGGCCCACCGTCACTCTCTCACACCAAAACCCTATGGCTCTGCACCCACTTCGCTTCCGTCGAATCCTAACGACTCTCACCACCCTCCAACGTACTCTCTCCGTTTCCAACGCTACGGTCCCTACAATTCCACCCTTCATTTCCAATTCCACCTGTGTGCGACCTCCATCGTCATCAACATTATTTTTCCGTATCTTTCAATCTCGATGGTTCAGATCATCTGGGGGTCCTCTTTCATCACCCAGACAGTACAAACTGTACAAGGAAGGGGATGAGATCACCGAAGATACAGTTCTATTCGAAGGCTGTGATTACAATCATTGGCTCATTGTCGTTGATTTTCCCAAAGATAATAAACCTTCCCCTGAAGAAATGGTTCGTACTTACGAGAACATTTGTGCTCAAGGCCTCGGCATCAGGTCCCCATTTATATCTCTTTTAAAAATGCTATTTGTTTTTTAAAAGTTTTACCCAATTATTGGAAATAAATTTATAGCACTTTTTGTTTGATTGTTTAACTTGGGGTAGCCTTAATGTTTAAATCTTTAGTTTTATTGGATATCAATGGGTGTGTTGATTTTTGGTTAATTTGTTTCAGTGTGGAGGAAGCAAAAAAGAGAATATATGCGTGTAGCACAACTACTTATGAAGGTTTTCAGGTTCTAATGTCTGAAGAAGAGTCTGAAAAGTTTAATGGTAAGTGTTTTTCAGCTTATGATATCATATTACTCCCAAAAAGTTATGTTCTTAAACGATTCTGATCCTTGTGGCTGAGAAAAAATGAAAAAAGATTCTGAATTTTGAAGGTTTTGCTTTAAACAGATATACCCGGGGTGATTTTTGTATTGCCGGACTCTTATATTGATCCAGTAAAGAAGGAGTATGGAGGTTAGGAGTTTTCATATTCTGAAAATCCCCCACCCTGTTTTACCACGTATTGGTTGATTTTGTCTAAATGGTATTACATTGTGATAGTATTAGACCCTGGAGTTGAATATTTTGCTGTGATTGCCAGGGGACAAGTATGAGAACGGTGTTATCACACCAAGACCACCCCCTATTCAGTATGGTAGAAACCAAGGTGGTAAGTTCCGTCACAATAATAGAAATCCTGACCAACCAAGATATGATCGACAAGGAAATGCTATGCCAAACCAGCAAGGGAATCTACCATACAATCAACAGGGGTTTGCACAAGGGGATGGAAGGAGCTATATACCTCCACAAGGTTATCCACCTCGACAAAATCTCGGTCAGCAGCCACCAATGAACAACAGAGAGTATGCTCCTAGAGGAAGTGGTCCTTCATACCAGGGTAGTTACAACCAAGGAGGTCAGGGAAATTATAATTCCCAAGAACGAAGGGACTTCTTTCAAGGAGAGCAGAGGAATTATATGCCACCTGAGCAAAGGGATTTCAGAGGTTATAGTTCCCGAGAAGGAAGGGACTCCTTTCAAGGAGAGCAGAGGAATTATATGCCTCCTGAACAAATGGATTTCCGAGGAGATCATAGGAACTATGTTCCCTCACAAGGTGGGAATTATGGGCAGGCACCAAGTTCTGGCTATGGACAGAATTTTGGGCAGGGGGCAAATCCTGGCTATGGGCAGAATTTTGGGCAAAGGGTCAATCCTGGCTATCAGGAGAATTCCGGACAAGGAGCAAATCCTGGTTATGGGCAGAATTCTGGGCAAGGAGCAAATTCTGGCTATGGACAGAGTTATGGCCAAGGATCAAATCCCGGATATCGTCAGAACCATGGGCCAGGAGCAACTGCTGGCTCTGGGCAGAGAGCAAATCCTGGGTATGGACAGACTTACCCAGGGCATGGAGCTGGTCAGGGGTTCTCACAAGCAGAGCAGAGAAACGTGCAAGGAGAGCCAACCGGATCAATGGGGCAAGGAGGGATGCAACAAGTAAGGCATTCCTTTTCAATCAATTTTACCTGTTGGATAAAATCTCAGAAATTGATGTTGAACCCCCTTTTCCAAGTTGCTTATTCTAGTCAGTTATATCAGGTTCATGGGCAAAATTTTCTAATGGTAGTTCTTTGTTTCTGCAGGGAAGAAACTAAAGGTTTCAAATGGACCTTTGAGATAATTGGGAGAATGGACATGCAAAGGAGTCCTGGTGTCTTTTTCTTTCTCTCTTTTAACTCTTTTTTTGAGGGTTACTTATAATAGTTTCTGTTATCTGTCATAGTTAATAGTTGACTGTTTTGCATTTTTTTTTTTTTTTAGATTTTGTGACCAAGAAGTTTGAGCTTTTAGCATCCCTTATTTGGTTTAGAGCTTGCACTAGAAACTTTGCAGCTTCGTTGTAGTACATATCTTAGCAACTCGGAATCTGATTTTGGCTTTTGTTTCGGCCTTTTATCTTTTTCTTGATGAAAATATTGGAGTTTCTTCATCCTACATCAAATCTGTCTTCTCTTTGGAGAAAATTATGCATGGAGGTAGTCATTTAACATTTCTGTCTGGAGATTTCTGTCACCAGGAGATGAATAGCTGTAGATCATTTTTTTTTTCTTAAAAACCTTGACGTTATGGCATTCACCAGTTCTAATTGATTCTGATTATATTATATATTAAGATACTTTTGGAAATCAATATACAAATACGAGAGCATAAATAGCAAGCAAACTATACTCATTAAAATATGTTATACGCTACAACTATTAATACTTTATTTGAATTTATGTTCAGCCAGTAACAATTTTGGCGACAGAAGCAAACAAACTAAAAGGAGAACTGGAAAGAGAGGAGACAAATAAGCAAAAGTAAAAAACCAAATTAACAACAAAGAGGAGAAAACCTAGTTGTAATACTAGTATTGTGGCAGAGCCTGTGGAAGATCCCATTCGTGCATTGAACTCAAGTAGCAAAATCTGGCTTCAGGTTCTCAACTGCTTGACCTCCATCTCCCCATCCCTGCCGAATACGAAATTTGAATCTTGTTTTCGTAGCTTTGTCTTTCTGGTCGTTAAGAATGACCCCATCATTCCTTTTCGGACCCTCTGCTTAAAAATGTGCATGGCAACCTAAAGATAGAACCGGCTTCGGGTGGTGCTGGCGAGCCTTTTTTTTTTTTTTGGAGAGACCAAATTTCCATGAATTTCCCATGATATCTGACTTCAAATTCCACCTTATCTTTTCCTTCAGGAAATTCAAAAGCAATTTAGAACCTTCGTTGGATAGGATAGCCTCACATGAACGTCTGCCTTGACTAGCATTTTGGAGAGAACTTTGCACGTTTGCAGACTGGGATTTTCTTTTCTCTGTCCCTAGCAGCTGAGGTTCTTTAGAGTTGAGACTTGAGACTGATGTAAAGTTTCACAGCCTGTATGCGTCGGTTTATATTGATTTTTGGGTTTGGGTTTTGCGAAAAAAGTTTCGAATTGTATTTACAATGAAAGTTTCCCGACTTTGAGTCGAGTCAACGGATTTGGAACCAAGTAAATGTGATCACAATTTCATTCTCGTTTCATCATGATCCTTTGCATAAGTTTTCTTATCATACTCGAGGAATTATGACTAGCCCGTACCATACTGTATGTAAACGTTCAAAGGAAATGGAGTAGTAGTTTGAGAGGAAAAATGTCACGAAATTAAACCAAACCCACCTTAATTTATCACTACTATTTGCGATTAAAAGTGTTTCAATGGGTGGAGCAAACGTAAAATGGAATTGGAAGGGGAAGAGGTTAAAATATTTCCAAGAATACATGGACTGCAACTTTAAATAAGAAAAAAGAGAGTGAATAAGTCAAAGGATTGTCCTGTCCCCTGAATGAGGTAAAGGAAGACATTAAAGCGTTTAGTTCGGGTAAGCAAAGGTTGTGAGTTAATTAGGGAGAATGGGTTCCAAGTTCCAATCAAAACCATTATTTGCCTTTTATTTCCCCCCATATTCGCTTCAATTCTCTCTCTCAAACAAAACTCAAAAGGAAAATGTGGGTAAGACAATCCACCTTTTCACCATGTTCCTCTTCTCCCCTCTACTCTTCTTCAGGTGATTCTCTTTACCTTTATTTTTTAACCCCAAAACTCAAATTGACAATCTTGCTAGTATTGTTCAAGAGTGATCTTCATACTACATCTAATGCAAAATACTATTAACATGTGGGTTTTGTTACTTTTATTCGTGTTTGATTTTGAATTCTATTGCTTTTGATTCTAACAAAATATTTCCAATAAAGTAATATTTTTATCAGATATTTTATTTTTGTTTGATGTATCATTTGTAATTTTGCCCTAAGTTGATGAACTCTTTTTATTTTATTGTTTCATTTTGTATGATGATGATTAGGATCAGTGAAATATGATTTTATGAAATATGAACTGATATGTTCCAGTACAGGATAGGTTACATCAAAATGTCTGCATTAGCCTTGATGTAAATTTTGTATGTGACTTTGTATTAAGGCAGATTCTTTACTTCAATTATACTGCATAAGCAAGGGTGCATTATGTGCATTTCATCAATGAATGTCCTATCTCCTTATGTTCAATATCCTTATTTGTATTCTGTGTGCAGAAAATACATATTTTACTGTAGTCCTCCAATGTGGGTGTGTCAATCGCGCGTGTGTGTAAATTTTGTACGTGACTTTGTAATCTTAAGGCAGATGCTTTACTTCAACTGTACAGCATAAGCAGGGGTGCATTATGTGCATTTTATCAATGAATGTCCTATCTCCTTATGTTCAATATCCTTATTGTATTCCGTGTGCAGAAAATATATATTTTACTGTAGTCCTCCAATGTGGGTGTGTTAACCGTGTGTGTCTGTCCGCGCACTCTCTTGAATGATGGTGCTGTCAAATCTAATTCTTTTTCTTTTCTGACTTCTGTTTTCTTACTAGCAAGGATGGTTCTTGGATCTGCTTGCAGAGGAGGACCTCTGAGTAATGGTTCTGGAAACAAAATTATTTTCTCAAATACTTCATTTTGTCTGACTGCTTTAGTGTGATGATTAAGGTACTTCATCCTTCAAACATCAGTTTTTTTGTTCAATTAGAAATGCTCACTAGCTTTGAGATATAGTTATAGGTCAGATATTGAAAAAATTTCATGGATCATGTATGGCTCCGACTCCAGATAAAGAATTCTGCCTCTCTCTCATCTAGTAGTTTATTATAACTTGATGTTCTGGCTTCAGGTTTGGCAAAAATGAGATGTTTCAACAATTTGTTCTTTGCTTAATTCCCTAGTGAGAATGGGTCGTGACAGTTCTAGAAGCAGCAGGGCCGTTGGGGGAACAACTTTTCTCTATGGTGAACTTGATTTGTGGGTTATAGAAGCCAAATCTCTTCCAAATATGGATTTAGCTTCAGAAAGAATGAGGAGATTTTTCGCTATGTTTAGAACTTGTGACACTTCCTTTGGAAAGAAGCCTAAGGCCTCTGGCAGGCATTTAATGAATACAAGTGACCCTTATGTATCTGTTTGCCTTGCAGGGGCTACAATTGCTCAAACTAGAATAATTGCCAATTGTGAGAACCCCTTATGGGATGAACATTTCATTGTGCCAGTTGCACATCCTGCAGTAAAAATTGAGTTTCACGTTAAGGACAATGATGTTCTTGGAGCTCAACTTATAGGAGTGGTCGAGATAGCTGTTGAAAAAGTAATTTCAGGGCATGAAATTAATGATTGGTTCCCTATTATTGGTCATTTTGGGAATTGTTTGAAACCCTATCCTGAACTGCATATTTCTCTTCAGTTTACGCCAGTGAGAGAAAACCCTCTATATCAACAAGGTGTTGGGATTCGACCAGATTACATGGGAGTCCCGAATACATATTTCCCCGTCCGTAAAGGAGGGAGTGTAACCTTTTATCAGGACGCTCATGTACCTCATTCCATGCTACCTAAAATCTTACTTGATGGAGGAAAAGTTTATGAGCAAGGCCAATGTTGGGAAGACATATGCCATGCCATTCTGGAAGCACATCACCTCATATATATAGTTGGTTGGTCTGTATACCATCCTGTAAGACTTGTAAGGGAACCAACAAAGCCTTTACCTAATGGAGGGGAGCTTTCTTTGGGAGAGTTACTGAAATATAAGTCACAAGAAGGGGTCCGTGTTATTATGCTCATATGGGATGATAAAACTTCGCATGACAAGGTTCTTTTGAAAACGGTAAAGTTCATGACTAATCAACATTTCTAGTAGTTCATATTTGCAATTTATAGTATCATTTACCTTCACGTCAGAAAGCATTTTTTCCGTAATATTGGGCTAATTCATGTATATGTAAATCAGCTTTTTGAATCTGTTTTTGTGAGCAATTTATATGCTAAAGCATGATTTCTCGATGAAAATAATATCCATTCTTTCAAAATAAAATCACAAGTTGGAAGAAGATTGATTTAAGGGTCAGTTGATGTCATTTCTATGAATGAGCTTACACATGCCATTGAAGCCTTTTTTAATGTTATTGTTGTGTCCCAAACCACCCTTAACCTGTTTACACCACTTAAGCAGATAAACTGGTGGAATGGTAGATTCAGTTGCAAGTTCTTTTAGCCTTAGATGCAACGTGAATGATGTTAGGCTTGAATGCAGGAAGGTGTTATGCAGACTCATGATGAAGAGACAAAAAAGTTTTTCAAACACACAAGTGTTCGTTGTGTGCTTGCTCCTCGCTATGCAAGCAACAAACTTAGTTTTTTCAAGCAACAGGTAAGCAACTTATTTCCTTGAATTTGGAACCATGTATTACAACTGTGCTTCTGTTTACTTCTTAGATGCTAGTATATTCATGAAAGATTTTTATTATTTATTGGTCATAACTAGATGGCTATGCAGTTGATCTGTTGTTTTATCCATGCCTTGAATGGATCCTTCTAGTCCAGGTTGTGGGAACCCTTTTCACGCATCATCAGAAGTGCGTGCTTCTTGACACCCAAGCTTCAGGAAATAATAGGAAAATAACTGCTTTCATTGGTGGTCTAGATTTATGTGATGGTAGATATGACACCCCGGAGCACCGGCTCTTTAGTGATCTTGACACTGTCTTCAAGGATGATTTTCATAATCCAACATTTCCTGTAAGTGGTTTTGTCATCAGTAAACTTTCTCCATGGTTATGAGTACATTGATATTTCTGGTTGATTCTGGTATGATGCCCTGAAAACCTGGAGAGTTAGAACTTTTTTTTTTTTGACAAATTATTGGAATACATAGCATTAGCAGTGGATGAAGTTACTTTACTTTGAAATTTTTTTAGTTAATGGATCTTTTATATATCCGTGTAATAGTTTTTCAATGTAGGATTGTAGTCTTATTCAAAGGCAAACCTTGCATTCTGCAAATGCTGCAAGTCATATAAAGCTATAAACATTTGAACTAATCTACTACGAGCAAATTTGTTAGCTACTATGTTTTCTTCTCATAGATTTATACTGCCATTGCATTGCCCACTTTGATATTCTAGAAGATCGGATGGTCTTTTAATATGGTTCTGGAAAGAGCATCACAGGCAAGGAGAGGGCAATGGTAAACTGAAGAGTAAATAGCTGGAAGATGGAATATTGAAGAAGGGTTCTTGAGGGAGAACAGAAAAAGTAGCTGGCAGTTTGACCAACATAATTGAAGACATTTTCATAGATGTATTGGGATGCATTGTGATACTCATGATGAAAACTGATTTTTGGTGAGAAACAGATTGATCTTGTACATAGAAACATTGGCAACTAAACAGGGTATATGACTTCTTATTTTAAAACTTTGAATTTCAATCCTCTGTTTACCAAAAAAATTTTCATAATCCAATAAAGTTTGAGATTGTTTTTCATCTTACATTTCTAGAAAGGACTTAAAATTCTATATTATTAGCATTAGGGTATTGGAGTACGGGACCAAAGGTGTAAATTCTTTTTATCTATTTTAGATCGTGGCTTACTGTCTTGAAGCTGGAATGGAATAAGCTGATGAAGAAAGACGTTTTTCCTCCATGATATTTAATTGTTTCAAAAGGTTTACTCTTAGGAGGACAAGGAGAGGAAAGAGATATATCATTGGTTGTTTCCTTTGGTAAAATTTGAAAGTTAGACAATTTAGTATAGTGTTTGACAACAATTTGGTTCAACCACGTATTCAATATACATTAGCATATCTTTGCTGGTCCTTTAGGTAACCATCATGCCATTCTTCAAGCATAAGGCCACATGCTCATATAAGCTTGACGTCAGATGTGCTAAGGTTTGCCTTATTTTGTTTTCTTCTTCTCTTTGTGTCGGATACTGCTAGATAACTGTCATATCAATGTTGAATGGCCTATTTATAGTGTCCACCATGTAGTTATCTCTCTGGTACATGATGTTGTTTCTAGCTGCTTGAAGAAATTTCTGTCATAATCTGTGGAATTGGTTTTGACAATGGTACTCTTTACGTATAGTCTAATGCCCAAAGGCCAAGGCAACCATGGCATGATTTACACTGCAAAATCGAGGGTCCTGCTGCATATGATGTATTAACTAATTTTGAACAAAGATGGAGAAAGGCTGCAAAATGGCGTGACTTCAAGCTAAGAAAGGTCACTCCTTGGCATGATGAGGCCTTGATAAGGCTAGATCGTATTTCATGGATAATATCTCCCTCTCCTGGTCCTGATGGAGACAAAGTTGTGCGTGTTTGTGATGAAAAAGACCCAGAGAATTGGCATGTGCAGGTTGGGAAGAATATGTTTCTTAAAAAGACACCCATTCTTTCTATTTATCATGGTGAGATTCTATAAATTGGGACTAATGTTAATTCTTTTTTTGGTAGGTATTCCGGTCCATTGATTCTGGATCTGTACAAGGTTTTCCAAAGGATGTTAAGCAAGCTGCAGATCAGGTTAGAAAATGGCCTACTTAACGCCTTTTATGTCATGAACAGTCTTCTTAGTCCGTGCTTTAACTTTTATTTTAGTCTATGTTTTAAGTTTTACACCCACGTGGAACCCTGCCAAGAAAGAACTTACATCTGCAACCTTGTAATTCTGATTTGTATCTTTCTGCAGAGCCTTGTCTGCGGAAAGAACTTGAAAGTAGACAAGAGCATCCATACAGCTTATATAAAAGCAATAAGATCCGCACAACACTTTATATATATAGAGAATCAGTATTTCCTTGGCTCTTCATATTATTGGCCATCCTACAAAAATGCAGGTAAATAATCATAGATTAGTATTACTTCTCCATTTTTTTTTTTTTGGCTGGTGGAATGGGTATTTATACTCTTTAGAGGAAAGGTGCAGCTACCATTTAGCTATGGCATGGTCCTCCTCCACTTATGTGTGAACAAATCAAATATTCACATTGATTGGTTTTTGTCCTTTATTTTTATATGTTGTGATATAACTACAAGCTGATATCATTTTGCTGGTAATTGGTTTACTCTATATCCTCCAACCAACTTCATAATGTCAATAAAACCAGTGGACCTATGTCCAATTAGCTAAAAGATGCATAATGCTATGTAGATTCTGAGATAAACATCTATGATTCTCCTTTTTCTTACATGACCATGTTTAGCTTGTATATACATAAGCCTAAAAGATTAGTAATTGCATTCCTTGCTCTCTTTCGAACTAGCATTGTTTGCTGTTTTTCTAAAAGTCTCAGTAGTAGCTTCGTTATAGGATAATTAACAGTTAATTTTGAGCTGTCTAATCATTGTGGGTTCATTTTTCTTTGGGTTTCCCCTGCTAACATCTGTAATTTTACATTAAACTTGACATTCTTATAATTCACTCTGATTCTGGGCAAGCTAAATTAAGTGTTCAGCTCTTTGTGGCATTTAAGTGTTTTGTCTCCTTTTCTTATATTTTTGGAATCATACAAAAAGTATGGAATGTTGTTAATGGGATTTTTCTATATAACCAGGTGCTGATAACTTAATCCCTATGGAGCTAGCCCTGAAAATTGCCAGCAAAATCCGTGCAAATGAGCGCTTCTCAGTGTATATAGTAATACCTATGTGGCCAGAGGGTGTGCCAACTACCAATGCTGTTCAGGAAATCTTATATTGGCAGGTTATCTTATTTCTTAAAATTAAGAATTGTGCTCTACAAGTGCGAACCTTTTTCACTGCAACAGAAAAAAAAAAAAGGAAGCTAACTTTATATACTAAGCGGTTGATCTCTGGTTCCACATTTTTCTGCATTGAAAACTTTGGATTTCATGATCCTTTGAATTTTCTATTGACCTTTAGCTGTTGAGTAATGTTCATGTCAGGTTCATTTTTCTCGAACTCATATCCTTTGTTTGCAAATGCAAGACTGATGTCCAAATTTTCTTGAATCATGCTCACCAAAGCCTATATTTTAAAGGATGTGCTCTTCACATGTGTGGAGGGGAAAAAAATTAAACCTAGAATGTTAAAATATAAGGAATGCCAATTTAGTTTATTTGTAGTAGCCAGTAATATAGACTCATAAGGACCGCTATAATTATTTTTGGGTCTTATCATAGTAATATCTATGCTTTTTTTATGTTTAAATGCACATAGGGACAAACAATGGCCATGATGTATTCAATCATTGCACAAGAACTCGAAAAAGCAGGCCTTTCCGATCAATATCATCCACAAGATTATTTGAACTTTTATTGCCTCGGAAATCGTGATGCTCCTTCTTCAGAAAGTTCACATCAACTAAATCAGCAATCGGATAACCGTGCACATGTAAGCTTTTTTTTTTTATCTACTCTGAGAATTATATACATGGTTGCTATTACAAATTAAGATCATTTGTGATGACTTTATTTTGTGGTTCAAATTCAAATTGTACCTTATATTTCCTGGCAATCAAAGTATAATGACTTCCAAAATGAGAATGCGCAATTAATTAGCCAAAGCATTGTGTTAATGATGTGGCAGCCTCCGATGTGTGGCTGCTTGAGATGATGTATTATGCTGTTGTTTTCCTACATTACTGAAGCTAAACTTGTTTTATGCATAGCATTAACTCTGTATTTGATAACAACTTGTCTTTTAATTCAAGCAAGAGGTCCTGCTATCGCATAATAATGCCCTTTGTATCGATAGATTTTTTTGTTTTCTTTGATGATTTATATTGGATTAACTCTAGAAATTCCTTCTTATTTTGATAGGCATTGGCTTTAAAGTTCCGCAGATTCATGATTTATGTCCATGCCAAAGGGATGATAGTTGATGATGAGTATGTTATCATGGGATCAGCAAACATTAACCAGAGATCCTTAGATGGTTCAAGGGACACAGAAATAGCTATGGGTGCTTACCAACCAAATTACACATGGGCAGGAAAGAAATCCCATCCACATGGCCAGGTTTGAGACTCTGGCTGTCCACTTTTTAAATACTCGAAAGAATGCTAAAGACGGGAAATAATTTGTCTATGCTTTGATTTATAACATTCTCCAGTATTGTTGGATGTAGGTTTATGGTTATCGGATGTCTCTTTGGGCTGAACACCTTGGCAAACTGGAGGATACTTTCAAGGAACCACAAAGCCTGGAGTGTGTAAGGCTTGTTAATAAGATTGCCAAATATAACTGGAAAGCATTTGTGGATGATGATTACAGAGAAATGAGGGGACACTTGATGCTGTATCCACTTAAAATCAGCAGAACCGGGGCAGTTAGTCCGATGTCAGGTCATGAAACGTTTCCTGACGTCGGTGGTAAAGTTCTTGGAGCACCAACCAATCTTCCTGATGTTCTAACAACCTAACAGCATGTTGGCGTGTGAGATCCAATAAGTTTTAGTAGCCACATATACTACAACCCAAAAACAAAATTTGCAGGATGTAGCATTACAGAACAGTTGAGAGATGATACAAAGTGAGACATTCATGAGAAAACTACATTTTAATGATGGTTAACACTTAAGACCTGAAAAAAAACCTCTGTTCAGTAGCGGCAGCAGCTGTGCTAAGTGCTTTTTTTTTTTGTTGCACCTTTTTTTGTTTTATATATATATATATATATATATATATATATGTATATTTATCCTTATGTTTTAAACAATTTGTAAAAATAGAATTCATGCTCTCCCTGGTCTTGACATTAACAGCGATTCCATGAATCAGTTTAAGAATGTTGACCCAACAATTGAATTATGCTATCAAACCTGGTTTTCATTTCGGGTGTTTTCAAAGACCTATAAAACCACTCATGAACTAATGCCGATTGTACCTAGGTTAAATTTTATAAGGATATAAATAAAACTATTCTAGGATTTTGAACACTAAGGACCGCATAGCGCAGTGGATTAGCGCGTCTGACTTCGGATCAGAAGGTCGTGGGTTCGACTCCCACTGTGGTCGTTCCTTTCTTTTCGGTATTGTTTTGGTCCGATGACCCAAATGTTAGGGTTTGGGCTTGGGCTTAAAATTCAAATCTTGTCTGCATCGCTATCACTCCGGTTTTCACTTCCTCGGAATTGAATCGGTTTCATTCTTCCAAACCAGGGTTTTTGAGCTCTGAAACTTTGCAAGCTCTCTGTCATAGTTTTCTTCGAACTTTGTAATAACAAAGTTTTTTCCCCTTTTATAAAATTTTGCTTCTCTGATCTATCTAGGGTTTAACTTACTGCTAAAATTCATAGCGAAACGCTCGACTCGAGAGTGAGATAAATGGCTTCAACAGGGCAACCGTTGTCACTTAAAAGAAGAGATGCGCCATTAACGAGAGAAGGAGATCAACTTACTATAACCCCTTTAGGCGCTGGCAATGAAGTTGGTCGTTCTTGTGTTTACATGTCTTACAAAAGCAAAACGATACTGGTATTTTTGCGAATTCTTTAATTGTTTAATCCTGGGATTTTTTATTTTCTTTTTTTATTGTAAATTTTCCTAAAAATTTGTTTTTTTATTTTTTAATGATAGTTTGATTGTGGAATTCATCCTGCTTACTCGGGTATGGCTGCGTTGCCGTATTTCGATGAGATTGATCCTTCAACAATTGATGTCCTTCTTATCACCCAGTATGGCTTTTTTTTTCCCCTTATTTTTATCTTTAATTTTGTCCCCTTTTTTTCCCTGTTAAATGTTTTCTTTCATTTGCTTATGGCAATTGTGCAGCTTTCACTTGGATCATGCTGCGTCTCTGCCGTATTTTCTAGAGAAGGTTCGGTCAGAGTAAATTGTCATATAATTTTACTATGTGGTCTTGTTTAAGAACTAATGTGTTTATATTTTCAACCAGACCACATTCAGAGGTCGAGTTTTCATGACTCATGCGACAAAAGCTATTTATAAGCTCCTTTTGACTGATTATGTTAAAGTGAGCAAAGTTTCAATTGAAGATATGCTATTTGATGAACAAGACATCAACCGCTCCATGGATAAAATTGAGGTATATATTCTTGGTTTCCGCCTTCCCTAATATTTTTTTTGGTACATAGGAGGCTGCAGCTTGAGAATAAGGGAAGGAGTTACAAGTGCTGGGATTCAAACCACAGTCCTTCTAGATGCCACCTATTTAGGGTGGCTGCATGAATACTGAGCTAAGCTCCATGTTCCCCTTTTCCTAATGTTAGGGCTGTATTTTCGGGTTAATCTGGTACCAATGTTGTCAGATTTGCTTTTAAGTTATTTCAGATGTACCTCCGAGTTTTGTAACCATATTTGAAAACTATTTGTTCTGTTATGTGCTTGACTGCAGGTTATTGATTTCCACCAAACTGTGGAAGTTAATGGCATTAAGTTCTGGTGCTATACTGCTGGGCATGTTCTTGGTGCCGCCATGTTTATGGTTGACATTGCTGGTGTTCGAGTCCTCTATACTGGAGACTATTCTCGTGAAGAAGATCGTCATCTTCGTGCTGCTGAGCTCCCTCAGTTCTCTCCTGATATATGTATAATTGAATCCACTTATGGCGTCCAGCTCCATCAACCACGACACATTCGCGAGAAGCGATTCACTGATGTTATCCATTCTACTATTTCTCAAGGGGGTCGTGTTCTAATCCCGGCATTTGCCCTTGGTCGTGCCCAAGAACTTCTATTGATCCTTGATGAGTATTGGTCAAACCACCCTGAGCTTCATAACATTCCAATATATTATGCTTCTCCACTTGCAAAAAAGTGTATGGCTGTTTATCAAACATACATACTTTCCATGAATGAGAGAATTCGCAGCCAGTTTGCTAACTCAAACCCCTTCAAGTTCAAGCACATTTCTCCATTAAATAGCATTGAGGATTTTAGTGATGTAGGTCCATCTGTTGTAATGGCAAGTCCTAGTGGACTTCAGAGTGGGCTGTCACGCCAACTCTTCGATATGTGGTGTTCTGATAAGAAAAATTCTTGTGTTATACCTGGTTATGTCGTCGAAGGGACACTGGCAAAAACAATTATTAATGAACCAAAGGAAGTCACACTCATGAATGGTCTCACTGCTCCTCTTAACATGCAGGTTCATTACATTTCATTCTCTGCCCATGCGGACTACGCACAGACGAGTACATTTTTGAAAGAGCTGATGCCTCCCAATATAATTCTTGTTCATGGAGAAGCAAATGAGATGGGAAGACTCAAACAGAAGCTTATCACGGAGTTTACTGATGGCAACACCAAAATCATTACCCCTAAGAATTGTCAGTCTGTGGAGATGTATTTTAACTCTGAGAAAATGGCTAAGACTATTGGAAGATTGGCTGAAAAAGCCCCGGAAGTTGGTGAAACTGTCAGTGGTGTTCTGGTAAAGAAAGGCTTCACATACCAGATAATGGCTCCCGATGATCTTCATATCTTCTCACAGCTATCAACAGCAAATATCACTCAGAGGATTACTATCCCATTTGCTGGTGCTTTTGGTGTGATAAAGCATCGACTTGAGCAGATATATGAGAGTGTGGAATCTTCAACAGATGAAGAATCTGCGGTTCCAACATTGCAAGTGCATGATAGAGTGACTGTGAAGCAGGATTCTGATAAACATATCTCATTGCATTGGACATCAGACCCCATAGGTGACATGGTGTCAGATTCCATTGTGGCTTTAGTTCTGAACATTAGCCGGGAGATCCCTAAGGTAGTAGTTGAATCTGAGGCTGAAAAGACTGAAGAAGAAAATGGGAAGAAGGCAGAAAAAGTTATTTTTGCACTCCTAGTTTCACTCTTTGGGGATGTCAAATTAGGAGAAAATGGAAAGCTTATGATAAGTGTTGATGGAAATGTGGCTCATCTTGATAAACAGAGTGGGGATGTTGAGAGTGAAAACAAAGGTTTAAAGGAGAGAGTAAAGACGGCTTTTCGACGAATTCAAAGTGCAGTAAAGCCGATCCCTTTCTCTGCACCTTAGGTTTCTCCATTATCTTTTGATTTATTAATTCCTTGTTAATGTGCTTGACTTTTGGGATAAATTTTGGATTTGCCAATAATGCAAGGTATATTTAAGTTGTTTACCATACTTATTACCAAGCATTAATTCCTAGGTTGTACCCCTTAGCACTGAAGGAGGTCATTGTTTTGTAGCTGTTCCATTTATATTAGCTCTGTTGTTATTCCGCTTCAATATTTCATCGTCACTCTGATCTGGTAAGATTCATGGTTTTCTGTCCTTAATGTGAAAAAAGGGTATGCCAATTATGCTTGTGGTTAATCAGAAACCAATTATCCCTTATTGCTATTTTTCTGATGATTATAGTGTATTGAACCTCTCGTATCAAGTTCTAATATCCAGTAGTTTACGTATTTCGAGTGTATACTAATTGAAACTTCAAATGCTAGCTAGTATTGTCCTTGTTTTCAGCCTCAATCTGCAAGGTGGCGGTAGCTTTGATATTCGAATTTTTTGTTGTTAAATTTTGGCTGCTTGCACTTGAACTTGATTGCATGATCTTTTTGAGCTAATCTCCAACATGATATGGCCATAGTTTCTTGTTGATGGATTATTTTTATTGTTGCTGACGACTCGTTTATAGTTCAAGCATGCTTTCTATGGTTAGAAAAGTGATATTTTGCTAACTAATTCACTTGAATATAGACAGATTCTTTCATGCATTATATTATAGGGTAATGTTCATTATTTGTATTGTAAACAATACTCAATTCATTCATCAGTTTCCATATTGTATAATGAAATAATAAAAGCTTCTGCACAATCAAGTTCTTTCCCTTGAATAAAAAAAATGGTTCTGTGCTTAGTGTTGCTCTGGTTTTCATACATATAAAATTGCTTGCAATTTGCAGGTAAGAACAACTCAACGTGTGACACAAAAGCCACATCATCACTCATTTACTTGGTTTTTGGATTATTATTTTATATTGAGTCAGCCACGTTTTGAATTTCGAGATTAAAATTTTATTTATATTTTATTTATTTATTTATTATTTTAAATATAGTTTAATATATATATGTAATAATTTTTTAATTTTACTTATGTAATTTAAATTTTTCATTTAACGGCGCATGATTTCAGATGCCACCAAAAAGAAAGGAATTCACTACTATTAATTTCCTTCAACGGGATTGGTAGCCCAAAAATGGTGTGATCCTAGAATATATATATATATAGATATATATAAATATATAATGGGAATGAATATCAAACTCAAATATAGTGTTGATTCAAAAGGCCTAAATATACGGTAAGTTCAACAATTTTTGTTGGTTGGAACTTGCGAGAAGTTTGAAAACTATTTTTCAGACAAAATGAGAAGCGATAACACTAAAATTCTTTGATTAAAAAATATCACTAAAAAAGAAAACTCCAATGATTTTTTTTTTCAATATTAAATGAAAAGTTTTGTTGATAGTTAATGAAAAGTTATATTAACATAAGTAAATTCCATGATTATTCTTTTACTGTTAATTTTTTTAATTTTTATTTTTATTTACAACTTTAGCATTACACTATTTAAATTCTAATTTATTTTTTTTTACCAACAATCTCTTTGATGAATTGACACATCATTAAAATTAGCATTTAAAATTTATGGATTCGAAAAATTTTATAGAAAAGGGTTTAAGAGGATTACGAATTTAAAAAAAATCGTAACTTTTTTTATGTTTGTGTGTCTTTTAATCTGATCATCAACAAACTCTTAATTTAATATTGAAAAAAGAGAAACCATATCCTCCAACGAAGGATTTGTTTAATCCAACTGTGTAGTGGTCATGTTCTATGTCGTGTTTATTTGACATTGATATCTTTGTTGTCGTTGCACTTGTTCTTTGACATCACAGAACTAGGTTGTTGCATGACTCAGTAAACCTTTGAAACTAAAATTTTATATTTTTAAGTAATTGATAGTAGAATTTATGATTGAATTTTTAAAAATTTAATTTATTATGACATGAATCTTAAATACTTAACTAAAATAAATTATGGTATTATAATTGTGAAATACATGAATAAAGGTCATGCAGCATCAGTCCACACAGCTCTTCAAATAAAATAAAACAAAATCTATTGGTTAGCATCTTATATAAATATATAAAGTCAAAGGTTTTAGTAAAATGAAAAAAAAAAATTCTTATGTAAACAGTTTAAAATATTAATATGTAAACGGTTTTAAAAATTGTCACATGATGTCTAATAAATGTATTTTATTTTATTTAATATATTTTTAATTTAAAAATAATTTAAAAAATTAAATTGATTATATTTATATTTATATTATTAACTTTAAATCACTCTCAATTCAATTCATATTAAAAGTATTAAAATTTTAAAATTTTCTTAGTTTGATAAATTAAATCAATAAATATATAATTAATAAATTAATAAATACTACAATTACAATTATAAAATAATTGATTCTCTAATTAATTATTTGACACATTTATATTTGATTAAATATAATATATAGCAATTGATGTATTTCATATGTAATATATAAAGCAAATATAATTCAAAAAACTGAATTGATTATACTTATGTTTTTATTATTAATTTTAAATTACTTTCAACTCAATTCATATTAAAAGTATTAAAATTTTAAAATTTATTGTTTTAACAAATTAAATCGATCAATATATAATTAATAAACTAATAAATACTATAATTACAATTATAAAATAGTTGATTCTTTATTTAATTATTTGATACATTTTATTTGATTAAATATGGTTTCCATTTGATTAATTGATGTATTTCATGTGTAAATATAAAAAGTAAATACATCAAATTAATTCTCCATAATTAAATGAATGGAATAAAATATTTTATTAATTTATAGAATAAAATATTTAATTGCTACATTTATATTTCATTAGATATGTTTTCATGGATTTCATTTGATAAAATATTAATGCACATTGATTTTATTTGTTTTCATTTATAATGTTTTATAATTTTATTATTTGATGTTAATGCACATTGATTTAATTTGTTATATTGCCATTATTAAATACAATAAATTTATTTTATTTTATTATTCTAAATTAAAGGATCTCTAAATTTAATAGTTAAATAAAATATTTCAATATTAATTAATTTGTCATTATTAGACCATTATTCGCTCATAATTTTTATTATTTCAATATTAATTTTTATAATTTACAATTATCTTATTAATTGACTATATTTATGTTTTTACAATTGACTTTAAATCAATTTCAATTCAATTCATATTAAGTTAATTAAAATTTTAAAAAATTTGTAATTTGACAAATTAAATCAATCAATAAATAATTAATGATTTAATAAATACTACAATTATAATTATAAAATAATTGATTCTCTAATCAATTTTTTGATACATTTATATTTCATTAAATATATTATCCATTTGAGTAATTGATATATTTCATAGTTAAATATAAAAGGCAAATATATCAAATTAATTCTCTATAATTAAATTAATGGAATAAAATATTTTATTAATTTATATTTGATTGATAAATTTAGATTTCACTAAATATGATTTCACTTGGTAAAATATTAATGCATATTTGATTTCATTTGATAAAATATTAATATACATGGATTTCATTTGATTTTAGTTGTAATGTTTTATAATTTTAAAATCTATATATTAATACACGTTTATTTAATTAAAATTTAATTTGTTTTACTGTCATTATTAAATACAATAAATTTAATTTTTTTTATTATTCTAAATTAAAGGATCTGTAAATGTTAATGATAAAATAAAATATTTCAATATCAATTAACTTATCATTGTTAGATTATTGTTTACTCACAAATTTTAATATTTCAATATTAGCTTTTATAATTTAAAATTATCTTATTAATTAACTTGCAACACATCTTTTATATAAGTAGCTTCAAGTTATGCATAATACATTTTAAACTACTTTTCATTAATTTTATATCTTTTAATCATTATTTAACTCTATTTTAATTTTCTCTCTGATTTTCACTTTACATCATTTTTTTTGCGCTGCTTAAAGATTATTATCTTTTTATACTTATATTTTATATTTCTTTAAGTATGATATTAGTTTTCTTTTAAAATTTTTTTTGTTGATGATTGATTTAAAGATAATTAGGTATATACAAAAAAAGTCTTTCACCAATATAGTCACTATTATGAAAGTTGATATCACTTTTGGTTAGTGCTATATGTCATATAGGTGTAACAATAAACTATTTGAAGTTGAAGAGAAATTTCAATACTATTCCCGCAATTTTAGTGTCCCTAATCAAACTCCAAGATATTTAGTATTTATATTTTTTATATTTGATACATAAAAAATGTATTATTTCATTATGATAATAAAAGTATTTTAAATTATTATATTATATTTATAATTGTAAAGTTTTGCATTTTTTATATGAATAAGTTGAATATTGAGGCATATGATAATTCTAGAAGGACAATATTCATATTGAACAGCTAAAGATTTAATTAATAGAGATACTGACGATTTTTATGAAATATCTATTAAGGTATTGAGTTAAAAATTATTTTAATATTATTTAATATTTAAATTAATTGAATAATATATTTATACTTATGATTTAGGAAAATGAAAATCATAAAATGTACAAGATATTTGAAAATCTCAAAAGTAAAATTTATGTTTTCGAGATAAAAGCAATCAAGTATAATTTTGAGATAAGTAGTACTAAACTTATAGTGAATAAGGTGTACGATTTTGATAATAAGTTTGAATGTCAACAATTATTGAAAGAGATATATATAAATTTATTACAATAATTATGTTTGTTATAAAGTTATATAATTTAAATTATAACTAAATTGTTGTTAAATTACAAATTATTGTTTTATTTATATTTTCACCTCTATCTATGAAATCTATCAAATTATCAAGTAAAATGACACATATTTAAAAAAAAAACAAGAAATATTGAAGAATCAATTGTTTTTTTTCACTTCAACAACAATTTATGGAAGGCTAAAAAAATTTGTATACATTTTGATTTTAAAGATAAAATTTTTAATTTATTGAAATCAAAAACATTATTATTTTTTGTTTAGAGAGTATTTGAATTTAATAAATTATAATTTGAGTTTTTTTTAGGATTGATGACAATTGTATAAGTATATTCAATATGTAATTAATTTAATTTATTATATTAAAATATATAAATTTAAATAAAAATAATTATATAAGTTATGAGTTATTAATGAATTTCATAACTTATATTATTATTTCAAAAAATTAATATTTATATAAAATTTATTGATATATAAATATATTTTTGTGTATCATACGGGTTTAAAATTAATTTTTTATTAAACTCAACTCTATTCCAATAAAATGAGGAAATATGCGAAAAGTAAAAACAATGGGTTAAAAACATAAAACGGAAATATGATGTGTAATCTCAGCCAAACAAGCGTAAAAGAATAAAATTAAGTTATATAAGAAAAAATATGTACTGCAAATGAGATTATAAAACCAGAGCTTCCAACCTTCACCAATCTTCTCTTCCCCCAACTCCTCCGCCTGAAATGAATAAAATAAAATCCCAAAAAAAAAGTCAAATTATGGAAGAAAAAGAAGAAGAATGGGAATCCGGAAGCGAAGGAAAGGGAAAAGGACAAAACTCCAAGCTTTGTTCTAATTTCCATGGCCCCTTAATTCAAGGGGAAGAAAAAAAGAAAACAAAGAACAAAGATTTGTAGGAGAGAAAGTTACAATGGGCAAATGCCCCTTCTCGTCCGGCCGCTCCTCTCGTCGGCGACGGCGTCCGAAATCCACGGAGGTCTCACAACCGCCAACGACGCCGTTAATTGGAGCCGCTTCTTCATCTTCACATCCGCCTCCGAGCACGGGAAATTTGATTTGCGGTGGAGGTGGGGGGATGGGGTCGGCGGGGAAGGGGAAGAAGAAGCCGGCAGGAGCTAGGCTATGGATGAGATTCGACACGATGGGAAACTCGGAGTTGGTGGAATGCGACAAGAGTACCATAATTAAAAGAGCTTCAATTCCTTCTCGGGATTTGAGGATTCTTGGCCCTATCTTCTCTCACTCCTCTTCTATTATTGGTATGTTTAAATTTATAATTATTGTTTTCTCTTTAAATTTATTAAAAAAATTTGCTTTTTCCATGGTCTGATCAATTGTTTTTAATGGAATTAGTGTATTGATTATTGAAATTATGAGTATTTTCACTGTTTTTGACTTTACAGATTGCTGCTAATTGGTGTCAGGGTTCGGCTGATTTAATTTTCCTTTCTTTATAGACTGAGGATTCAGGGTCCTATCCCATTAGCTTGCAAGTAGGAACTAGGATGTGTAAAAACTTTGAGTTTAGAGTGCAATTGCATATGCTGCTAAGATGCAGGTTTTTGGGTACCTCTAGAACTGTCTTAAAATGTTTTCATTCTTTGGTTTGAAGGTTACTTCTAAAACTACGGTGGGGAACACGTTGGCCGGAAATGAATGCCACTGACAGAGCGGTTTTGATACTGTGTTGCTTGCTATATTTCCAAGCAAACCCTAAATGCTGATATTAGTTGTGAATTCTCTAAGAAAAGTGGTTTCCTGACTTCCATCCTTGCTTGTTGTTACTCTTTGTTGATTGTTTTGAATTTTAACTGGATTTTACAAAGGTAAGAGATTGAACTTTTTAAGTAATTCAAAGTCAGTTTGCTTTGGTTATGAATGAAGCTCGTGATAATAAGTTGAATGTAGTGTTAAATGGGATCTTAGTTAGAAAGACTCCCATGTTAGGTCACTACAAAAGTTTGTTTTTATTGTATTTTTAAGATTTAAGATGGATGACAACTGTTTGTATTGTCATACTGATTTCATTGGTAAATACTTGTGTGGCTATATGATACTACCATGCTTTATTGTATAAGTTGCTAAATACTTATGTGGCCGAGAATCTTGTTGCCAATCATGGCAGCAAATACAAAGCTATGATAACCAAGCATGGGGCAATCTGCTGTTTGCTGTGTTTCTTTTGTAGTTTTGTCTGCTCCCCAAAGAGGAAGTACATGAATTATTCTCCAGTTTTATATGCTCACTTATAGTCTATTCCCTTTTTTCTTATTCCAATCTGTTTTGTGCCTTGATCTATATCATTATCTTTATATATATATATATATATCTATTTATTTATTTATTTATCAAACAAATAAGAACATTGGATTCTCTGTTTGGTCATCATTATCTTGAAACAGTTAAGAAATTTTCTTTAGATATTCCAATCTGTTTTGTACCTTGATTTATTTCACTATCTTGATATATGTATCCAACAATTAAGAATATTGGATGCTTTATATTGAAACAGTTAAGACATTCTCTGAGATTCTTTTGTACCTTTTACAGCCAGGGAGAAAGCCATGGTTGTCAATTTAGAGTTTATAAAGGCCATAGTTACGGCTGAAGAAGTTCTTATACAGGATCCTCTCGAACAGGAGGTTCTTCAATTTGTGGATCAACTTAGACAACAACTTCCTCATAAAAGTGTATTTAAGATGAAAGGAGCAGGCAAAATGGATGTAAATGATAGTGAAATGGATGTTTCACCTGGTGGACAATGGTCACCTGTTCCAGAAGCCATGGATGGTTTGCAGTGTGAGCTTCCATTTGAGTTTCAGGTTCTGGAGATAGCATTAGAGGTTGTCTGCTCATTTTTGGACAAAAGTGTGGCAGAACTTGAGAGGGATGCTTACCCTTTGTTGGATGAACTGGCCAGAACGGTCAACACCATGAATCTTGAACATGTGCGGAGTTTGAAAGGAAATCTCACTCGTCTTCTTGCACGTGTACAAAAGGTATTTTTGATGCCTGTTGTTTCTTTCAATGTCCTAGTTGTTGCTCACAAAGAGAATACTCCTTATCTGGTTCAGTGTGTGTGTGTGCATGTATGCATGCTTGTGAAGGAGGGAGGACCAATTACATGAAACCTGTCCTATTTTATCCTGCCAAAAGAGTTTTTATCTGACCAAAGAATCAGAATAATCAGTATATGGAATCTAACTTCCTAAGGAATCTGATGCAATCTCCACTATTTGCTATGGACAATTTTACAATGAAAAACAAGTATATGATTCATTAAAGAAGTAACCCATTAATGCTGCATCATTTATCCATATGCTATTTTGTTTTATGTGTGAAACATTAATGAGGACCTGGTAAATGTCAGGTGAGGGATGAAATTGAACATCTACTGGATGATAATGAAGATATGGCACATTTGTATTTAACAAGAAAGTGGATCCAAAATCAGCAATCAGAGGCTCTGTTAGGAGCTGAAGTTTCAAATAGCATCAGTACTATTTTGCCCCATCTAACTCGACTTGGTTCAAACAGGAGTGCAAGTTTGGTGAGTAGCCACAATTTGGATGACAATGATGTTGAGGATTTGGAGATGTTGCTTGAGGCTTATTTCGTGCAGCTGGATGGAACACGTAACAAGATATTATCTGTGAGTATCTGTCTTTACCATGGTGGAATGAATGCATCTGGTTTCATCTCCTTGACTTGATCCCAAGTATGATTTGATGTGTTGGATTTGCAGGTTCGTGAATATATTGATGATACAGAAGACTTTGTCAATATTCAACTTGACAACCGGAGAAATGAACTCATTCAACTTCAATTGACATTGACCGGTGCATCGTTTTCTATATCTTTGGAAACTATGATAATCGGGATGATTAGTATCAACATCCCTTGTACATTATACGCAAAGCAGGGGATATTTGGAATCTTTATTGGAAATCTTACAGCGGGGTGTGTTTTGATTTTCCTGCTTATCCTAGGATATGCCAGATGGAAGAAGCTGCTCGGTTCTTAAACTCATCCTGATGATCAACTATAGCTGTGTTTTTACTACTTCAGATCTATAAACTCTATTAGCTTATGTGTTGACCCCAGCATGGGATGCCATTGAAACATATTTAGAATAAAAGGACCTGTATCCAAGTTTTCTGCTACATGTTTTAAGACTAAAATGTATAAGTACAATGCTTGAGCTTTTGGAAGTGAAAAGGTTTTTTTTTTTTTTTAAATGTTCCTGTTAGATCTACGTAAGATCTTAATGTGCCTCTTGATATCTAACTTTACATTTATTCTGATTTTTCCCCCATGAATGAGGAGCAAGCTTTCTGGCAGGACAAATCGGTTGCCAATTAATTTTGTACTGAAAATGCTTGCATTCCTGTCTCAACCATATGATGATTGCTCCCAACACCCATGCTTTTTCTGATATTTGTGGTCACTGGTCACCTTTGTTTTGCAACCAACTTCAACTTAATTGCTGCAAATTTATGTAAATTTCAGGGTTTTGTACCATAACCGTTTTTTTTTTAAATTCATTTAGGTTGTGTTAGATGCACCAGACAATTTGAATCATGAATTTTATCTCTCGGAATACCCCAATTTCCACCAAGTTTAGATCTTACTCTCAGGTACTTTTCTCAATTCTAATGAAGTAAAATTGATGCATCTCGAAGTCTAATCAACTGTGATTTTCATTCAACAAAGTATAGTAACTAATTAGTATAATAGACATTGATCTTTAGATTTTTTATAAAAATTTATTTTTGATAAATCGATAGTAAAATTTTTTTAATTTTAAGATTAAAATTTATCATATATTTTTTTATTTATTTTATTAAATTTCAAAGGTATGTGTCAATTGTCATCTTATTAAAATTTCACTGTTAATGAACGTGCTAAGTCATCTTTTAAAATTTATATTAAAAAGTAAATTGATTTTTATAAAAGAGAAGTAGTAAAGTGGTACTACAAAATTATTGGAGAGTCGGGTCCCTTCCTATAATACTAGCCCAACTTGTTGCAAAAAAAAGGTTTTAATTTTGTACTTTATATATATATTTTGCTGTTGTTGTTGACATATCACTGAAAGAAACAAAAGGCATTGGACAATGCAAGAAAATGGCCTGGTCATGGTTGGTGGACCATATTAAAAGGCTGTCCAAAACCTTTATGCTTCCACCCATTTATTTTGCAATAAATTTGCAAATACCCTCGTAAATATATCACTGTTTCCATTCAAGTTTTATTGTTTTCTTTTTTTAGCAGTTGACTTAGATTATCTTTTACTCAAAATTTATATATACTTTTGTTTTTTCCATGCTTGATTAAGATACTTTGCCAACTTTTTTATTTTTAAAGGGCTCCAACTTCGGCATAATAACAAATTATTTTGATATTTACAAGGGTTAGTTCAATTGATAATGATAAAAAAAGTATTTTTGTAAATTTTGATGTGTAATTCAAATGATTCAAATAATTATTTTAAAAAGTGATGTAATTATTTTTTTTATTTTTTAAGTTATACTTTTTTTTTATAAAATAAATTATTGTAAGCATTTTGAGAATAAAAACATTATATATCAAATTGATTTAAGAAAATATATTTTTAAAACTGTCCAAAAAATTTTTTAAACAAAATCTAAAAATATCCCCAGCCGTATTAAAAAAAAAAAAAACTTTGAATTTCGTTTCTATCTGTAAAATTTTAACTTGATGTAATTTAAGAATAAGATTTGAATTGAAGTATGTTAAAGTGTGATTGGGATTTGAGAAAAAAAAAAAGAAAATTTTCTTTCTTGCTTGAAGACAGATTTGGAAGAGTAAAAATCAAACATATAAAAAATTGTTGCTGTTTGAGTACTTTTTGATGGGTGGAGTTTGGTTGGCTGTCTTCCTTTGTTTGTGCATTTTCTTCATCTATCATTCATAATTGGATGTTAATATTAATAATAATCATTTTAATCCAACAACTCTGCTCCCCATTCTCTTCACTTTTCGTGTAACAAACTCACCTCCCAACTCATTACTAACAAAATCCAACCCTTTACTCCTTTTCTTCACTCCCAAAAGCAACCACAAAAAAAATTGCCCAACGCGTTACTTGCTTATGTGATCACATATCTTTAGATTTCCTTTTTGCAAATAATTATATTAATTTTTATATTAAATTGTAAAGATTGGAATTTAATTTTTTATTTTAAAAAAAATAAATTGTAAAGATTAAGTTGTGGGATTCAATTATTTTAAAAATATAAGTTGATCTAATTATTATATTTAAATTTCAACAAAATAAATTATTTTTTATTTATAAGCTATTTATATAAAACACATAAATAAATTTTACTCAAATAAGTTAAAAATGCGAAAATATGTAACAAATAAAATACAAAATTAATCATAGATAAACATTTAAAATTAAAAGAAATTGTTTTTAATAGGCTATTGACGTAATTCATGTCACTAGCTAAGGAGCTAGTACTAAGATGTAAAGAATGAGGAATTGGCGTGGGTAATGTGTAATAATAGTATTTTATAGGGGTTAAAAAGATAAAAAAAAGTTTCGCACTTTTTTCAGATTTTATTTTCAATCCACCCCCTGATTCCTGCCTCCATGCTTCAACGCAGAGAGAGAGAGAGGGATAGAAAACAGAGAAATAGAGAAGAGGGCTTCATAACAAGAGAAACTGAAAACACGAGCAAAAAAAAGAAAAAAACCCTAGGAAATTGTGAGCTTCCGATTTGGAAGCATTGAAGCATTGCATTTTGAGATCTCAATCCTTCAATCCCCGAAAGGTGAACTTTTCAATTTTTTTCCAATTTTATTTATTTTATAAATTACAAATTTAATTATAAAAAACTTTGGTTTGTTTTTATTTTCAATTTTTTTCTTAGCTTCCAAAGCGAATCTGTTTTTAATCTTCGAAATAATTTTTTTTAAGTTACTTATAATCCATTTTTCATCTCTCACATTGTAACATTTCCTCTAATGGAATGTCTAATCTTCAATTCTTAGGCTTTCATTTTGTTTTTTTATTTCATGAGTCGTGTTTTCGTTTTTATTTATCTGAGATTTTTTTATTTCTTTTGTTTGGTCGCTGAGAAAACGTGGAAAATAATAAGAAATCAAACTTTTCCAGTATTTGGATTTTTACTATTCTATACCTTTGCTTAGCGTAGGTGATATATTTATTTATTTATTCATTTTTTTATTATTCAGAACACAAATTAATCTAGAAATTTAACGTTGTTTTTGTGTTTGGAAATAGAAACTATAAATAGTGCCAGAATCACTATTCTAAGGTAATTTGAATATGCTAATTCTGAGAGATTTTAATTTGCACTTTCCATTTTTGTTGAATAAATTGAATAGTGCCATTTAAGGTAACGAGTTAGATTAATTGGAGGTTGTTGTTAGGATTATCTTAATCTATTTCCTGTAGACGTGTTATCTACGGCAATTTCATGGGGGACGGTATGCATTTGGGGATTTTTCTTTTTTTACATTGTTTTTGAATTTGACCCTGTAATTTGTTCAAAGGCTGGGCCATGCAAATGTAGGGTTTACTTCCTTGCTTCCTGGTAAAAGTAGGATTTTTGTTAGTAGCTCTTTGCTACAGTGCTCTGAGAGACTTTGCTACATATGCAACAGTAAACACTTTTCAAGATGATATGAATATGATTACATCAGAAAGGTCTTTTTGACAAGATTGTTTGATATGAATCTGTGTTTTTTAATAGTATTTATAACATTCTTTTATGTGAAGTTTCAAATAAAACAAGCAAAATTCAGATCATCATAGAAGATATTGTGTAATGTTATATTCTTCTATATACAAAAATAAAAGCACGGAATTGTTGTCGTTGTGGCATTTTTTTGTCCTCTTTACTTGTATCCTAAGATTTAGTGATTGGAATTACGGACTGATGTTGATCTAAGATGTATTGTCATGTTGCAAATCATTCTGTAATGTGTGATTCACTAATTTTTTTTTTTTTACTGTTATCTTTTCATTTGGATTGTAAATCTTTGTCAGAATGTTTCCCTGTTATGCATATGCAGTGTACCAGACATGGGTGTTTTTATGTTTAGATCATTATCTGGTATATAACAATTGGTTTGGTGCATGACACAATCTATTGTTTTTCTGATTTTCTCTGTTGAATGAGGTCATATCATCTCTTGGTTTGTGAATAAAAAATGTAACTGCAACTCTTTTTCTGGGACTTTTGTGTTTGCCTTTATTTTTATCATAATTGATCTATTCCATGATCTGTCTCTCCTTTGCTCTTTGCAGGAACAGTTTGTCCTTGGCCATGGCGAATTCCAAGGGGTCAACAAACATAAGAAATTTGATGTTCTCTGGAAAGCATGCTTCACTTCCTCCAAAAAGTCCATTTCCTACAGTCTCTCCAACATGTACTGATTATGTCCCCAACAATGTAATTGGATCAAAAGCAGTTCAAAAGCCTAGAGAGGGAAATCCACACCACCTGCGCACCTCCTCTGAAAGCCTTTTGATAGAGGAGCAACCCTCTTGGCTTGATGATCTCCTTAATGAGCCTGAGACTCCTGTGCGAAGAGGAGGTCATCGACGTTCATCGAGTGACTCTTTTGCATACATTGATGTATCTAACGCTCCTAAGCTAGATTATGCAGCTCAGGATGAGTACAGATATAAAAATATGATTTCTGCACCTTCTTGGGCATCTCAGGAATTTGATTATCACAGTCACAAAGATGCTCGGCTTGCCTCTTTCTACACTGATGTGAACTTGGTAAAGCAAAAGAATAGGGCATGGGATTCACCTTTGAATGCTATGACTCATCCAAGCGGGCTTCCTTCTCTCAGAGAAAACACCATTCTTCCAGGTTTAGGATCATCATGTGCACTGCAAGAAGTAGAGGGTGCTCCATCAACAGCAAGCGAAAAACAAGACTCTGCTGAATCTACCCCTCTTGATACAAAAGCTTCTTGTGAGAAAAAGGATAATCCTCACGCCAAGTCTTCTGCATCTGACAGTGATACAAAACGTGCCAAGCAGTGAGTAACACATAATATTTCCTGGTTGCATGGCCGTGTCTGCTTTTTTTCTTATATCGTATTTTCTGCATGTGCATGCATTGTGTTTAATATCTTTTAAAAGTTTCATTTTATGAGCTCAAGGAATACCTGTAGTTGCTTATAATGCTGCTAATGTTGTTAGTAATCAATTATTTTTTTCTTACAATGATGAAATTGACAAGGAGCTTGTCAATTAATTTCCAATGGGATTTGGAAATGATGCTAGATTATGGATCTGCAGTTGCCCTAGGAATGATTGCATTGATTAGATGTTTCTTGCGGTTGCATTCACTTTCTAGTTGTTTTATGCATTTCTTGGCCTTCTGTCTCTCGTCCTTTTGCTGGAATTTTTCAGTTGAATATTTACCACAAACCAGATAGATTTGCTTTTGGTTTCCTTGAATCCTCTTTGAATAATCATTTTACGAAACATGAGGAGAATGATGGTGCTTGTCTGTAGTCTGGGTTGCAGGTTTTCCTGCATATACACAAAAAAAAAGGATCACATCAATACATATTCTTATGTTTTCTTGGTTCTTAAATGAAATCACATATTGTGTTCATTCTTTATCTCTTCAAATTTAATTATTCTGTTGTGCCTGGTGTTTAATTTAGTTGATATTTCTTTTGTTAATAACTAGTGACTTTGATTTATTTTTGCCACGTGATTCTTGAAGATTTTATCAAAATACATATTTGGTTGTTGTACCAGTGCCCTACATTGATAGAAAATATTTGATTGCATTATTTCGTTGCCATCTATTCCAGGCAGTTTGCTCAACGCTCAAGGGTGCGCAAACTTCAGTACATAGCTGAGCTGGAAAGGAATGTGCAAGCTTTGCAGGCAAGAATTAGTCCAAAGTGAAGTTTTTTAACGTTTACTGACTTTTCAAATGGACTTAAAGTTATGAAACAGTATTCCATACAATGAAGTGTTAATTGCGATTCCTACGTAACAGGCAGAAGGGTCTGAAGTTTCAGCTGAGCTTGAATTTCTCAACCAGCAGAATCTTATTCTTAGCATGGAGAACAAAGCTCTCAAGCAACGTTTAGAGAGTTTAGCTCAGGAGCAGGTTATCAAATATTGTAAGTGTCTAACCCATGATCTCTAAGGATATGATTATATGTCGTTTTCCTGCATTACACGTTGAATAACAACCTTCTTTGTCTACCTTCTAATTATTTGTATGTAGTCCATACTTTGGACCTGTATGAGTTGGCATCATGAGGGGTGATAGATCCAGTTAGGTTTTTATATTCCATGAGTTGCTGTAAAAGGAAAAAAAGCAGTATAGGCCTTTGAAACTTTGACCAAAAGAATTACTGGAAGTTTGTTTGAGATGAAGTGAAATTTATTATTACATTCTAAGATGATTTGGACAAAGGAAGAAAACATATGGAGAAATTTGTATTAGAGAGCATAGGTTTCTGTGGTCATGATTTAGTTTGTCACTAATAAAATTAGAATGTTTTGCTGTACTTACTATGGGAAGGGTTAAGTTAGGTCTTGATTCATGAGTGAGCCACTTTCACTTGTTTTCCCCTAACATAATATGCTGTGGTCCATGTCTTATGCTTGGTTGTGTTCTATGCCGTAGAAAGCGATTTTCCTGCTTCCTTGAGAGCACAGGTTCCCTTAACAATGCATTGGGTATTCCAGAAGCATGAATAATTATGGAGAAAAGGCCAATGTGTCCAAGAGGCTATCATTGATCTGTCATGTGATGAACAGTAATTTTTTAATCAATTAAAACAAAATTTTATTGAATGAAAACTAAACTATGCAATCGTTGTGCTCAGTTGAGCAGGAAGTATTGGAGAGGGAGATTGGTAGGCTACGAGTCTTGTACCAACAGCAGCAAAATCAACAGCAACAACAACAGCAGCAGCCATCATCTAGCCATCGACGCACTAGCAGTAGAGATCTTGATTCCCAATTCACAAACCTCTCTCTGAAACATAAGGATGCCAGTTCTGGTCATGACCCTGTAAGGTTGTAACTGGTCCACTCTGCATTTTTATATTTAATGTAGCCAGAGCTCTTTCATGCCACTAGTTCGACTGGTGCCGCCATGCTGACCAAATTTGTTTCCCTTGCGTGGGATAAAGCTGAGTTCATCCAGTCTTGGTGCCCTTCCCTCTGCCTGATCTTTCTCTTTATCTCTTACCTTTTTTTCCTTCCAACCAATTAATATCTTCATGTGCACCTGGTAGTCATTGCCAGAAAATTGTATTTCAGGCATGTGATTCACCTGAGGTGGTAAAAGATAAGAACAGGTACCGCATTTCACTCTCTTCTGTCTTTTCATCAGTGGTTATGATTCAGAAATTTTATATGCTCCATTTTCTCTACATTTCGGGTATCCACCTAATGGATTCCACCTCAGTGCACAGATCTTTAGGCTGTTTGGATGTGCATTGTTTATAATGCATAATGGTCGAAAAATATTTCTTGTAAAATGTTTCTAACAAAATCCATGTTTTCCTTCTGGGTTCTGTTGGTTACATAATTTGCCTGGTTTTCTCCTTCAGCTTGAAGATAGTTTGGTTTGTGCAGGTTTGCAATCAAGGAAATGCCCTCGCACTATTATTTTTTAATCCATCCTCCCCGGCTCCCCTCTTTCCCATTGGTATTATCCGGGATGTATTTATTAGTTTTCCTATTAAAAAAAGCAGTTGTTGAAATAAGTTGCAACTACCATAATTGCTAAGTCTCTCGATCTAGTTTCAATCTTTAATTTTTTTGGTAATTGAGACTATCAGAATTTGAAACTTATTATTGAAATTAGGAGATCAACATTTTCTCACCGGACTACAAAACTGTTGGCAGTTTGTTGAAAGATTTAATTAAGTTGCAATTTATTTTTATGAACTTGAGCTGATTTTAACATCGCTGTCGAAAAAAACCTTCCTGAAATGCAATTTCTTAACAGCTCATTTAAATTTCTTCATTTGATCTTAATGCTCCCGAACAGCCAGTGTTATTTCCTTATTTGTCCGCATTACTCAATATTTTTGGCGAGTTAATGTGAGTTGAAAGAGAAGTACGTGTGAAAGATGCTACTGCATCCAGGCTGGCAAGTGGTTACCTCACAAACGTTACTGAGCTATAAGGACGTGAACCAGCGATAAAGCCATCTGCAAATTGGCACGCTAGCTGTAAAATTCTGATCCCTAATTGGCCATTTTCATAGACACCGTAATACAAGCTTTCACCAACTCCTCCCTTTTCCCCTAAAGCACATTGGATTGCAATGTCCCCTTGTTTTGCGAGTGCTATGGCTGGGAATCGATTGCTGTTCCATATATTGTCGTGGAGGGAAACAAAACATTAGCAGATTGCGCTAAATGTTTTGATATTATTAAAAAATTTCAACCTTAAGAGTAAGAATCCCAGAGAAGGATGTTAGTTATCTATTTATTGGCAAAAGATATCACAATCTTTTAGGCATTCACATAGATGAGTGAAAAGCAAAGAATTCTGACTCGGGTAACTAGGACTCAAACTTTGACCACGGCAAGTAATAAGAAAAAAAAGAGAGATTTAATCCGAGTAGGACGATTTCTAATTATTTTGGCTTTTAGTTTATAACAACTCTCAACAGGACAAGGAAAATGATTTTCTACAATAGATTTTCACTTTTCAGCACATAATTATTAGCAGCAATAAGGAGAAAAATATTACAGAAAGGCTAAATTTGGCACCATGTCCAGTGTTAGGCAGCCTTGGGTACTGATCAGGAGGGGGCATGACGCATTCATCACCATTAAACATAATTCTTCTTGGGAAACCCCATCCTTCTCTGAAAGTGAATGTCCCTTGATCTTTGCGCAGCAACAATTCAGTTTGTACATTTCCACTTTCACCTTCCTGTAGCAGCATGTCATTGTAGTACTGAATCCCCCAAAACATCCCTGTATCATCTGCACACATACATAAAATAGTTTTTTCAATCCAAAAAGAAATAGCAAATCATCAGCTGATGAATGAATGACCTTTAATCCAACTTACTGATATAGCCATATTGGTAAAGTGGCTCATAGTTGAAGCTGAAAACTTGTGTCAAGCTTTTTAAGTTAGGGTGTAATGCGACCAAGTTCCACTGACTATAATTCTTCATGGTATTCAGATTATTCACGGTTATCTTCACCCGCCAATATTCTTTGTAACTTTGTTTCACATGCCAATGGACCCGTATTGGACACATATGCTGCGTACACCTTACTAAAGATGGTGGCTCCTGATTTGGATCTTTTATTTGTTGCAATAACGATGGTGTTTCACCAAACCTGAACATAAAATATAACCTTAATTTAGTGGAATTAGGAACGGCGGAACCTATGAAGCTGTTCAAGCTTTGATTTTAACTAGGAATTTGTTCCGGTAAAAGTAGAAATGTGTTCCATATTCGAGGTAAATGTGTCCTGCGGATCTAATTTAGAACTGTAATCTCTAAATCAGGACTGATAAACATCTTCCAAATATAAACTAGTTTTGATTTAGGAGGCTGGTTTGATATAATTGATTTCTTAAATAAGGTTCTAATAGAAGTATAGAAAGCATTAATTAAGGTCATTTACAGGTGCACCCTATATACATCTTAGATGATGAAAGGAGGAGGATTTACTTTACACATGTTGCTCCAGGTAATCCTTGGCAGCTGCAGCTGCACTTGGGACAAGGAACAATTGAGCTATTATAGAATGCAGAGAAGGATACACAGCACTTTGGAGAAGTTGATGCCAGAAATTGGGAGTAGATACATGTCACATTCCATGTCCCTGCAAATACAATATCCAGGCAAAAGGAATTAGTATAGGCATGTTGTGCCTCCATCGGTATTCATATAAGTATTTTAAAAATACTAAACCACATTCTCCTAGTCACCCTAGTAAGATTCAATTTGTTTCAATGAGGTTAAAATGGTGAAAGAAGAAAGAAAAAGGCATAATATGTATCAGTCTGTCACATTGAGAGCAACATGACAGGATAATACATAAAGATCTTGACAATGGTAGAGCACATGGGAAAATGTAGTTCGGGTAATGGTTAAAAAAACCAAGACCACAATTGTGATTCCTGCTCTAATTCCACTTAGCAAAAGAAACTACCTATTCTCAAACCAGAATCTATTACATGATCCATCAATGGAAAAGCTAGTGCAAAGAAATGTATAATTTGGCAAGAACTTACCAAGAGCTTGTGTCCAACGACGGCCTCCATCTGAACTATACCTACTTGGAGCAACCTGAACTGGTTTCGCACAGGAATAGCCTGGAATCCCAAGAGTGAAATTTTCTGGCATTGTGAAGTCTGAATTGTTGGCAGCTCCAATATTCATCTGAAAAGCAGCAGCATACTTAGTGGGGTCTTGTATCATGGATGATAGGACGCCTCCTTTGCAACAATTAGTTGTTTGCATGTTATATGGGGCTCCAGGTAAAAGGTCAACAATCAATGGCTTCTTCTCACAACAATGAGGAAGTTGTCCTCCCCTGAATCTAGAGCAGTTTCCTTGCTCTGTGGCCTCAGCTCCCTGCATGCTCCAAATTGCCTCATCACCTGTCCAATCCCAACCCAGTCTCCAGCCAGGCCGCTCTATATGGCGATATAGCTGGAAATTAAGTATTGATACCTTCACCTGCAACATTATACAAAAAAGAGAAAAAGAAAATGATTGGTTTTTAGGCACAAATAATAGAAACAACCCTCGTCTCGATTCTTGTAGTAAAGATTGTAAATGATATATTAATACTTGTAAATTATTTAGGTTTGATTTAAATAAAATTTGAATTCGATTTAATTATTAACGAGTTAAATTTAAGCTTGAGTTCGAGCTAAAGCTGAAATAATTTTGTTTATCAATTTAATCGAATTCGAATATTTTTATATTCGATTTGAATAACTTGTGAATCTTATTTAATTTTATATTTTAATATATTTTAATTAATAAAATATTTTAAATTTAAAATAAAATATAAATAATCAAATTTTTATTTAATATAAGAATTAAACTTACTTTTATATATTAATCAAATAAATTTAAGTAATTTAACTTTTATTTTGAGTTAAATTTAAATTAAAAAAATAAAATTCGATATCAAATTTTGAATTAAACTTCGAATTGAAATTTAATATTGTATGCACTCTAACTCGAGATTAAGTCCATGGAAGAAAATTATGCATGACTCGTACACAGTTCGACCCTAAGTTCTAACCAACCAGAACATAGCACATTAACCTTGACAGGATTCTTCTCTTCACAAAGACGATATTACCCCTAACAAAGATCATCTGTTGGGCAACAATTGGATAGACCACAAGCCAATGGTTTGTGGACCCCATCTGCCCCCCAAACACAGGCGAAGACAAAACAAATTGCTCTTCTGTTCAACTCAAAACAGGCTGGGGAGCTGAGCACAGCGGTGAACATGCATTACACTTGTGACTCTTCCGTACCATACGATGACGACAGTTCTTCAAACTTAAAAAACACACACACTCTTCTGATTTTAATTTCTTAATATTTTGTTCACTGTCACTCACTAATCATGGTGGTATCCAAAACCCAAAAGTGAAAATAAAAATTTGACAAATATAATCTACCATTAAAAAAATTATTAGTAGAAAAGATTGATGGGAATCAGAAACTTACATCATTTCTATCAGGACTGGATTGCAAAAGATCCCATTTAATAGTTATGTTGCCATAAGGATCCAAAGGATCATATCCATCTGCATTTTAATCAAAATCAACCAAAATAAAAATAAAAATTCAATGTACAGTTTTTATAAAAGTTAGACTTTGAAAAAAAAAAAAATACTTACATGAAGGTGAAACTGAGCTCAAAAGAAAGAAAAAGATCAAAGTCGAGACCATATATACTGATCTTTGAACAACAAAGTAAAAGGGGTTCATTCTCAAAACCCCAAAAGGAATTGAATCTTTCCTCGTTACAACCTCTCCAAACCTAAAAAAAAAGTATATTTTTTCCTTGAAACTGTCACTAAAAAAATGGGTTTTTGTTGTTGGTGGTGGTCTTTCAGTCCTTGAACATAAATTGTGGGCAGCAAAAGAAACAGAAAAAGATTAGAGAAGTGTTTTCATTGGTTTGTCTGTTTAACCCTATCTCTCTCTCTCTCTATGCAAATGAGAGTTGTTTTTCCTTTTTTTTTTTTCCTTTTAAAAGAAATTAGGAAATAAATTGCAATTAATGCAATGGAGACTGGAGATGTGCTTCCTTGGATTTGCCAGAATTGGGTGCAAAGAATGCGTCTATTTCTATGTTCTGATCTGTTCAACGTTTAGATTCAAAGCTTCACGCGTGTTATATCATACTTATACCCCCCCCCCCCTCGCATTATTCATGCTTGCTCTTTTAATCAGTTTTTTTCTCTTTAAGAAAAATTAATGAGGTCCTTAAAAATGTTTTAAACGTTGAATTATCATTAATTTTTTTTATCATACAAAGAGATTATATACGAGTTGAATTTTGAATAATAAATTTTTTGGATAAGTTTTATTTTCGGATTATTTGATTAATATATAATTATCTCATAAATTATTTTTGGCTTAATTTCCTCAAAAAATTTATTTATTTTTTGTTTAACAAGGAAAAAAAACTGGAATGTCAAATGTAGAAGTGACAGTCGTAAACATAAATCTCCAGCTGTGATAATCATAGTAAAACATATTATCATCATGATGGTAGGATAATGTAATTTCCATTATTCTCGTTGTCATGTTTATCAAATTATTATTCAAATAGTAATAATAAAAAAAAAAACCTAGTATTAAGTGGTAACCAGAAGTCTTGAAAATAATGGTTTTCTTTTTGGGTGAAAAGAAAAAAGGAAAATTTATACCTTGTTTAGTCAAGTTGGGTGAAACAACATTGCATCTTCCTTTGCCACATCTACAGCAAAAAAATTGAGAATTTTCAAGGTAAAAGATATAAATGTAACCAAATTAAGTTATTAATGAAGAAATTAAAATGGTTTGATGAGTATTTGAATTTAACTCATTTATTATTATTAAACTAAACTAAAACTTAAACAACTCAAGCAACAAATAAAATAAAATCAAACTCTACTACTTCAATACTTGACTTGAGAAACCAATGTATCTCAATCTCATTCAGATTTTATTTTGCCAGAATCGCACTGAGATTAAGCTTTTTATTCTTTAATATATAAATATTAGTAAATGACAAATATATAACATTTAACATCCGTATTTATCATTTTACTAAATTTAATCCAGTAAAACTCAAGTTGCTCAAGTAAGTTATGAACCAAGGTTGAACATGAAAAATAAAACTCGGTTGAAATCAAATTGATGCTTAAGTTTTCGAATCAAGCTATATTCAAATTTAATACTTTTTCGATCCAACTCAGCTTAATTACTAAAGGAGAACAAGATATCTGCCAGCTGAATTTTAAATTGCACGTAAAGCAAGACAAAAAAGTTGGCTAAGCTAGGTCTCATTAAGAAAACAGGTCTCTTCTTCAAACTTCAAAAGGTCGCATAGAGTAATAACGATGAAAGTGTTACAAAAGGCAACTTCAATATCTCGTACCAGTGATAGTTTCTAAGAATCAGTTTCATTATGTATTTATATATATATAAAAGAAGAACTAACGCCAAATAAAATGACATCCATGGCTTCAACTTCAAGTGGCTGCCACGCCCTGATGAAGGAGGAGCATCAAAGGCTAGCATAATATTTGAGATCCCTGAAAAGAAGGCAGATACTTGTTAGGAATATATAAATATATTGAATTACCAAGCAGAAAAAGATGGCAATTTTGTTTGGGACAATAAAAAATGTCTTCATTCAAAAATCTTGCTCTTGAAGCGACAACTTAGAGCAATTTATACCTACAAGAAGGGGAAAAAGCAAGTATTTGAAGAAATGATGAGGTATTAATAAACAACATGAGATTTATACCTCAAAAGAGTGAACATTATTAACACATGAAATTTCTCTGCGTGTCAATGTACGTCAGGCATGCCTGCGTCTTTTGGCACTGTCCTCAGTGAATAACTGCCAATTACTATGGTCAAGGGCACTCAAGTCATCGAGATCTGCAATGGCTAACAAGTACTGGGTGAGCTTTACAAGCTCTTGGTCAGTGTCTCTGTTTGCATGAGCTTTCCTGAATGGCTTAATTGTCAAACCATTCTGTGGGTTCATCACAAAATTTCTTCGCAGATCATCAAACATTACAGTGTTCTTTGAATTGTAAAACTGCAAATAAATAAAGAAAACACAAGTCAGTCGTCCTGCTGTTACTCATCCACTTGAATGACACACAACAATCTAAAGAAACAAGCAAAGCAACAGCAAATTTGGTTTTATTATATACTTCAGGAAACTGAGCCCAAATCAAACCAAGTGGTTTGCAATCAAAGATTCTACGAGAATCTGATTGAACAGTGATCATTGCTAAATGGTCTAGGAGGGCTGTGATCTTGTAGTTTGGATTGTTAAGTACTCCAAGCTGTCCCATCTTCAATTCAACCCATTTCATGCTGAAGAAAAAGAAATTGACAAACTTTAGAAAGATGGGGAATATTATATACACAAAACTTATAGCATGCACATGCACACACCCAGATAACCAAAAGAACAGATAGCATCTGTTGTGACGACGATGAGAAATCCTATTAGATAAAAGCATGACATATAATAACTTTTAAGCCTAGTGACAATTCTGACATGAATGTACAAATTATAAAATTGAAGAATGTTTTAGTAACAGTAAACATATTCTGTCATGGAAAACAATTAAAGAAAAATGATAAAAACCTCACTTGGTCGCAGACCAAATCATGATATCATACTCTGCGTAAGCAGCTGTAAGAAACTCGTGAAGATCTGCAAAAAGCATCTTCAGCATTAGCTCCTATCAAAACATACCAAATATATAAAGTATAAATGAGAAACAATAGACTTACAAGGCCGCATGAGTTGAAGTGGATTCTCAGCTGTGGACCGGTGATCAAATAAAGTATAGTCAATATCCAAAACAAGCAGTTTCTTTCCTTTACGGCATGGAGCTTTCAGTTCAATCTAGATTTAAAACATCAAGAGAAATATCATCAACAACTTTTATGCCAGAGAGTTTTTAAAAAAGGCACAATATCAACTAGCCCGTATAGCTTTTAAATATCAAATGAAAGACCTCCTAAATATGGAAATTAAAATTTCAAGAATCACTTGGTGTTGAGAAATACATACGGACAAACATGTGAAGTCAAAGCCATTGGTAAGAACAGGTTATACCCAACTCTCAGCAGAATCAAACTTAACAATGTATGATACCCTTTTTCCTAATGCAAATAATGAAGGATACCCATTTGAAGACCACAAATTTATTCCTTTTCATCAAACAATTTCACATATCCCTCTTACATAAACTGATGCTCCAGCATTTTCTATTGCCAAAACAAAATAGAAGCACAAGAAGCTTGAATGAAGCACAAAAACTACTTTCCAGACGTGAAATTCATTAAAACTCAACTAAGAAAGACCATTTTGAAGATTGAAGGACATAAAACACCCTGGAACAAAGACGAGGAAATGTCCAAAACTTTTAGACATGGTTCACATAACATTGCTTCCCTTAAACTTTGCATGGTAATCATACATGTATCAAGAAGAGATTCTAACCTTATATTGATCTATGCGTCTCTTAAGTTTCTGCTTGTTAACCTCTTTATCTTTAATGTCAACAGCTTCATCTTGGCCAAGTTCAAAGTCATCAATAATCTCGGGAGTCTCAACTGGATCAACAATTATATCATCTTCGACAGTGCTGGATATCCAAAATACCAATGTTTGTTATTAATACTATGAATCTATAAATACACGGCATTAATTAGAATATTACAAATTAAAGAATTTTATGGCAAAAAAAAAAAAAGGGAAGACAACCCTAATACACAAAATGCATACAACAGAAACACCAGAAATTCAAAGGTTATTAGTATTTCACAATAACATGATAGCTTTGATTAATTATGAGAATTAGACAGTTCCAAACAGTTAAAAATTTCCATAAATGCTCTTCACAAAAGAAATTTTGGGTACCCAAATTTTATAACAAAATAAGAAACCCTAAAAAACCAAACTTGATATTATAAAAAAATGAAAAAAAAAATGGTTAGAGAGAGTAAGAGTACCCAATCATGGTCATTTTGACAGAGGATTTGAGGGGAAGTTGGGAGAGCAAAAAGGAGTCATCAGAGAGTTTGTTGCCGATTTTGGGGTAAAGAAGCTTCTGTCTTTTGGGTAAAACGTTGGTGAGTTGGCAGATTCTTCGTTTCAACTCGGCAACTGAGTCATCGCCACAAACTTGAACCGTGTACTCTTTACCGCTCCATTTTATTGTCAGTGTCAGCTCCTCCTCCGTCACCGAAGAAGATGCACTGGCAGTGGCAGCGGCGTCGGCGGCCATTTTTTACTTGTTTGTGTCGAATTAGGTGCCCTTCTGATTTCGCTCTCTTATTACTTTCTATTTTTCAATTCGGACAGAACCCAATAAGGAAAGATGGGTCATCTTATTTGGGCCACTCTCCCCTTTTCTAGCTTCTTTGGGCTTTAAAATTTTCTGGGGGAATTGGCCCATAAGTCTAAGTGGATCTTTAAGCCGAAATTTTACTTTCATCGATAAGAAAATTTCTACTAATAATGTGGAATTTTATATAAAATTATGCCGTATCATTTCATTCAACTGTGCATGATTTTTTTTATTCAAAGAGAAAAATTAACCATTTCTTCTCCAAACTAATAAAAAAAAACGATTTAATAAGATTGTAAAATGTAACATTCATTCTCCCGTATTCCTGCTTGATATTTCATAGTTGCTCGTATTTTATTTCATATTATGAAAAATTAGATGGAATAAGTGTCGTCAGAATTGGATCGATTAGACGAGAAACTAACGGCTTGTGGTTTAAGAAACAGAAAAACCAACCTTTCAAGAACCAATCAAAGTTCGATTAAACCGGATTTGATCATTCTTGCCCATTTTTATTATTTCAAAATATTTTATAAATATGTCGATTATTTTTTAATCAATAAAAATAAAAAATGATTAAAAATAGATTAAGAAATTAAAAAAAATTATTTTGCACGTGTTGAATTCTTATCCTTTTAGAGTTTTATTAATGTATTAACAGCAAGTCAAATATATTTATTTGTTAAATAATAGATATTTAAAACAAATAATGCATCTAAAGCATAATTAATGGTTGTTATTGAACAAAACAATTGAATTGGCTGGAACGAAAACTAGACATCCAATCTGTTCAACCTCCTCTTATGTTATTACAACCTTTGATGGAAACATAAGAGTTCTTTCCCAAATTAACATCTTGAGATAATTTTAGTATTTCAAGACAACTCCGTCAAAATTGTGTCATAATGAAAGAATTATTGTTTCTATAGTAAAAAAACTTATAATGATCACTACATTTGAGTACAAAAGAATCATTATCCATCAAAAAAAATTTTAGGGATTATCGAACCGGATTAGTACATTCCTTATTTAAAAATAGTTGTTAATGTTGTTATTTGTTAACACGAATCCATATTCGATATTAGTACCATTTTCTCCTTTTGGGATAAGTGACATTGACGTTGTTTCATATGCAAAAACAACCTTTCAAATAATTGTTGATACAGTTAAAATCAGGAGTCCCCTCGCACGCTGGATTGGCTTCAATTCTCCTAAAATTTAGTCCATAAACAAGAACCTCGAGGAGTTTGGGTATAAAAATGACTGTCGCGCGAGACAGCAAGTGAATCTGTCGTTCAATATGCGTTGCCTTGCGACAAAGTTGTTTTAAGTTGTGTTTTTGTAACAAAAGAAATGTTGAAAGATAAAGACAGAATGACCAATGAAAAGGACAAGTAATAATTTAAAGACGATGGATGAGAATAAAACTTGGCATACTCTCCACATCTTTAATTAATTTTTCTTTCCATGGGCCCTCAATTATGCTAGAACTTTTTTGATTTGCTTGAAAATATCAAGAAGAAAAAAAAAAAAATCCAGTCTCAACTCACGCGATTACATCTGTTAGTTAGACCGAGCTGGCGCTTCAAGCTTCAAGGGATTCTCCCTCTATATTTATAGACCATCAACTCCAATCTTTTCTCGCTACCCTGTAAGTACAATTGACCAGCCGAGCATCTTCAGCTATGGAACTTTTCATCAAAGTTCTCACAAAAATCGACGTTGACAGAAGATTCTTATTTCCAGATGGCTGCTTATCTGCTTTACCACGGTCCGAAGGGTTGCATGGAATAACGTTGCAGGTTAAGGATGATGTCGGAATCTTATGGAACTTTAGTTGCGTAAAACGATCCGGGGCTGTCCAAAAAATGGTTATTGTTTCCGGTTGGTTCCAATTTGTCCAAAGTAAAGACCTCCATTCAGGTGATATTGTCAGTCTTTCCAGGGAGGATGACATGTTTACTGGGGCGGCACAGTACAAAATTGAAGTAAAGAAGAGTAATACTTCAAGTTCTGTAAATAGAAAAGAAATTTTGGCTTAAGCTCAAATTCACCTTTTTGGTTTGTAAGCGTTACTCGTTTATTTTGTACAAAGAGAAGAGCTTTTTTAATCTTTTCATCATTGTCTTTTTACCCAACAAGTGCTACTGCCCTGTTTTCCCCTGTTTTCTTCCATAGCTGATAGCCATTACAGTTCCGGGGTTTAGGGTATCTAAATCAGCGTAACAACATTATAGGCATTCTTAATATCAATATTCTGGAAAAACCCAGATTCAATTTCTGTTCTGAAGAAAAATGTTGAGTGCTTTTTTATTTTTGTGAGAGTGGCAGAGTAATCCCCTGCAATCCTGCATTTTCTCTGGTTCTTAAATCAATAATGTACTACTAGTATTAATCATCAAATTGTTAATCCCTCTACTGCTCGTTGATGAACTGAAAAAATATTCCAAAAACCAAACAAGATATAGGTGAAAACAAATAAAAAACCAAAATTTTTGGTTCATAAAATTCTCCAGAAGGGACTTCTTTTTCTTCTCTAGCTTCTTACTAGGAATTCTGTCGCTGATCATTGTTGATCTTTTCTAAAACCACGTGTCATATGAAAAAAGTCAATTGTTTATTCATAGCGCCACCAAGATTCTTGCTGATTAAGCTAAGAGTTGATATAAAAAGCAGCAACAATCAATCACTCTTTTCCAATAGAAGAAATAAAAAAAAAAAAAAGTTAAACAAAAAATGTTAACAAGTGCTACTCGTTCGACAACAACCGAATTCAAGGATTGGTCGTAGGTAAACTGTGGGTATCGTTAAGGCTAAATTGTGGCTGTCCTTTTAGCCGCCCGATCCAGATAGTTTCGTTGTCAGTTTGTTGGGCATGCGCACGTCATTTTTTGAATATTTTATTATTAGTTAGTTTTAGTCAAACCACCGGATGATCTTATTTATTTGTCGGCCATCAACTAACTCAAATCTTCTTAGTGGGAATATTTCGATTATAATTATTATAATAAAATTAATTAATTATAATTTAATATTGTGTAAAGTTAATGAAAAATTATATGGAATTATATTTTTAAGTGATTGATTTTTATATAATTATTTAATTGTAATATTGTAATAAAAAATTATATGTATCAATCAAAATTAGTAAAAATCAAATACTTTACTTATAAAGTTTGGGTTTGATTTTTTTTATTAATAATTTGCTTTAATAGACAATTTATAAATTTAATATAAAATTTTTTTCAAATTTGCAATCTATTTTGATTTTGAATCAGGAAAACCTCTCCTCACTCTAAACTTTTTTTTTGACAAAAAATTTTTGTATGTGATATGTTTTCTTTATTTGCATAGTTTCAATTGATCAAATAAAGTAAGAATACATTAAATTTGAAATTTAATTCAATTATTTTACATAATTATTTTTAAAATATAACATTCAATAACTTTAAAATTTAAATTTTATTATCAACAATCTCTTCATTTATTCTTAATTCTCAAACTGTGATTTAAAAAAAAAAAAGGTTTCATATCCTTTATTTGTTGGTAAATAAATAAACAAACAAAATCATTTTGTTAGTGAAAAAGTTGAAACATAGAATGAATCTAGAAGGCTAATATGGCAAATATTTATTTGAGGATGAGAAAATGAACTTTTGTCATCTCATATTTTGTGGTAAGCTCATTAATTTCTATGCTTTTGCCCCAATCAAACTGATCGATTCAGATTTTCATTAATAGTATTTTTTTTTTTTAATTCGTTGCACAGTTGTCTTTACGAAAACACAAAAAGTCCAACTATATCTTAGTGAAACTGATGTTTTCGGTTATAAACCTCGCGGCAAGTCGTGTCGTTGTCAGTTCACTTTTGGTGAAACTTTTTGTATGCTTTAATCATTGTGATAAAACTGACAAGTACCTACCAATAGCATTGACTATGAACATTGGTTTCCACTAGAAAAAAGCCTCTTTTGCGTCGAACACCTGTCTTGTCTGCCTTAATTTTGTGCTTCTAGATTTCTATGGTTTGTTCATTTGTAACTTTTCACCCAAAAAAAAAAAAATAGTGAGATAGTGATGGGCAATGGATTTTATTTCTGCTATCATCCGCAGCATGCGCCCCTGATGGCGATATTGTATTGCCTTTAACGCGCGACAGAATAACCAGTCGGGAGGTTTTGAAAGAGAAAGCGTACGCCAGCGGCCCGAATATTTAAAAACTTAGAGTTCTTTTTGATGATGATCTCATCTTGCCTGCGTAGTTGATGATCTCTAAAACCATGAATGTTTTCAACTAATCATCACTTTCCTAAATGAACGATAGCAACCCAACAAATTTAATTTTCCAAGGCAGTGGCGTACGATTTCTCTTTCAAAACCTCGCGAAAGGTTATTCTGTCGCGCGTTAAAACGATACGATATCGCAATCAGGGGCACGTGCTGCAGACGATAGTACAAATAAAATCCATTGCGGACAAAAAAAAAAGAATTAAAAAATCCACGGCCTATCACTGTCTCGCCAATTTCTTTTTCTTGTGCAAAAGCTATAAATGAACAAAGAGAAAGAAATCTAGAAGAACAAAAAGTTAAGGCAGACAAGACAAGGGTTCGAAGAAAAAACGAGTTTTCTAGTGGAAAGCAATCTTACTAGTCAATCCCATAAAGTGATGGTAGAGTTAAAAACATTTATGGCCGCCACCAGCGGCCTTTATTCTTTTTTCAGATTCTTCTTTGTCAGCTGACAGTGCTTCAAGTGATTGTTTAATATAAATGAATAAAATCCAATATCCAATTGTTTATATCCTTAATTAATCCACATAAAGGTTGAAAATCTAGTGCATATTTCATTTTAATTAACAACTATATCATTCATTCAATTTGATTATTGTTATTATCTTTTCAAATGAAAATTTGTAATTAATTTTTGTTTTTAGCAGTGTTGTCAAGATTGGATTGAACCATCCATTTGAATTAAGAAATTATGGTTAGTCTAGTT